TATACATACGTGTGTGTGTGTGTGTATATATATATCAGGATCAAGAGAAAATATTGGTATTCTAGATTTACTCCACTCTGCAACTCCCAAGTTGTCTTTTCTATCATTCTTCCACTATCCTGTAAAAAATTCACCTAGTTTGAATCTCACATAAACCCAGTTATCCCATACCTACCTACTTAGGGTAGTGACAGGCCTCCAACTTCCCAGTCACCCCTTTTCAAAATTGATTGAGAATTTAGGAACATGGATCATAGTCATCCATCAAAAGTCTGCATAAGCAATTTCTAAATCCAAACAACTTCTTTTTTATAATTTGTTTCTTGAATTCACTATAGCTGCCTACTCCTATGACCATACCAGATCCTTGTCCAAGCAGGAACCATCTGTCACTTACATCCACGGTAACCTGCCCTTTAACCTCAAAAGATGCTCTAATTCCTAATTTCTCTTCTTCATCCCTATTTCTACTTTTTCCCCACCTAATACCAATCTTGACTTCCTTACCTTTTCAGCTAAGATTTCATAATCATCACTTCAACTACTTTCCTACCAAAACCTTCAACTTCCCTATCTTTCTATTCTAGAGCTGCTGTCTGGCTACTCATCACATAAAATTAACTCAACTTGATAATTCACTAAACACTTATTGAAAGTGCCGGCTGGGTCAGCTGGTGGCTTGTGGTTAAGGCAGCTGGCCTGCACAGGTTAACCAAGCAGTTCAAGTCCTAGACCTAGCAGCTTGAAAAATATGCTGGGCTTGTATTTATGCTTGCTCAAAATCCCAAAAGGAGGGAGAAACAAAAGAGAAGGGATTGAGGTGTGACCATCCTATCCTCCCTCAGGGGGAGTGGGGGGTGGGGGGATTTCTTAACCCCTCCCCATCTCTCACATGCCCTATAGCAAAACTTAAAAAAAAAAAAAAAAAGTGTTTGGCATTTTGTAAAGAGTTGAGTATACAGTAGGAAATCAGAAATAACTCATTTAGATTCAGAGTTAACATTCAAGATCACAGTAAAAAATCAAAACTGGAACTCAAAACTATCTCACTCCAGAGCCCCTACTTTCTAGCCCTTTCTCTATTATATTTTTAGCTTTATCTGACTTCCTTAGAATTTGACCACAGCATCTTAATTGTAGTAGTTAACCTCATCTCTAACCTCTCAACTCCCAGGCACTCAGCCTACAAACATAAAAATCTGTGTACATGTACCCTTCCTCCCTCCCTTTTCTGACGACCCAACAGCTACTAATTATACTCGCATATACCTCTCTAGAGTATAAACTCTATCCAGCTATTAACTACTTTATTTTGTTCACAACTGCACTCTCAGTCCTTAGCAGAATTTAAGGTATGTAATCGTCATGTAGACCATACACTGAACAAATACTTAAGAACACCTTGTCATCCTTGTGATTTTTTTCCAGCTAATAATTGAAAAATCTGAAAATAATTTCAAATAATGAGATAAATGACTATTACATTCTAGGAAATCCATAAAAACATACCTCCAATTCATTTTCCAGTTTCATTACTTTAGATTTTAATTGATTTTCTATTTTAAAAAGACAAATGTTTTAATAGGTTAGATTTGCCTCAAAATAAACTTTCAAACCAATTTTCATTAAATAAAATATAATACCATCATGATTATAACAGTAAGGTACAAACATAAGACAAAGTAACTATTACATAACAGATCCATGAAATACAAGTTTCAGAAATGTTTTCCAATATAAATTGAATACTTGATACAACAGATTAAGTTTAATTGTGTACTGCTTATTAATAAAAACGATTAACTATTTAACACAATAATAAACTATTTCCAAGATACTTACCAAATTTTGCTTGTTCTTCTCCAGCTTTTTCCACTTCTTCCAAAGCTAACTCTACTTCTTGAGCTTTCATCTAAACATTTTTTTAAAAAGTTATTTCAATATGCTATATACTAGAAAGTGAGCACTGAAATTAAGCATTTTGTTTCATTCGCTATCCCATTCCTTACTGCTATAATGTCTGGCACATGGAGACACTAGCCATTACGTTAACTGCTGGTCCCAACAAAAATTTTTTGAAAAGAATAAATGGCTTTCTGGGACCAGCAGATGCCATAATGGCTATGTCACTGGTCTCCCATGTAGTCAACTGTGGTTCGAGTCCTGGACCCAGTGGCTTAAACTCACTCTGGGTGCGTGTGTGTATGTGTGTGTGTGCCAAAGATCCTGGGAGGAAAATAGAGGAGAAAGGATTAAAGTGTGGTCATCCCCCCCTCCCCATAGGACAGTGATTTCTCGCTTTCTGTCTCTCTCTGTCTTTTTGGCGAGTGCACATGCCCTATAGCAAAAACCTCTCAAAAAAATAAATTAATTAATTAAAAAATAATTTTTTTTCCATTAGGCTACAAGTTCTAGATTTTTAACAGTCTGAAATGTCTTTATTTTTTCTCAACTCTTATATTCCACATTACAACTTACTTTTGGTAATGCTTCTTACTCTTTGTTTTCTGTTCCAATTATTATTCTATTCCATAATTGTGTTTCAACTGCTTCATAACTTAACCATCAATTCCCTTCAAGTCAATTGTACTATGTAACATATCCAGTTTGACCTTCCTAAAGCACATTTCTATATCCATGAATCATGGTCCAAATAATGACTCCTTAATTTCTTTTTTTTTTGGAGAGATTTTCACTGTAGGGCGCGTGCGCTCGCCAGACAGACAGAGAGAGACATAGAGACAGAAAGCGAGAAATCATCCCCCAGGGGGGATGGTCATGCCGCAATCCCTTCTCCTCCATTCTCCTCTCGGGATCTTGGGCACGCACGCACACACGCCCGGCATGAGTTTTAAGCCACCGGGTCCGGGACACGAACCGCGGTCGACTACGTGGGAGTCCAGCGACATAGCCATTATGCTAACTGCTGGTTCCCATGACTCCTTAATTTCTGACAGCATAAAATACACCTCCAAGGCCTTCAAAGGTCTAGCCCAAACTATTATGTCACCAGAAAAGTCATGATTTATTTTTCAATGTTTTCCTACGCAAAAATGCATCATGAGTTTCTCAACAACCCAATATCTACCTAACATGTGCTACCACCTGTTATAAACTTTCTGCCTTTATTTCCTCAAATGTAAAGAAGAAGCATACTTCCTATTCCCATAATTTTTGTGTGGTAACCATCAGTTCTAGAATCCCCTTACCATCTCAATACTGTTTCCCACTTTCGTAAGACTACTCCTCAGTCTTCATCCTTGATTTACTGTTTTTTGTCACTCTTACATCACTTTCTCCCACCTAACACATCCCCATAGTAGTCATGGCTCATTTGCACCTCAGGAAGTATCTCCCTAGGTATTCTAAAATATCCCCATTCTATTTCCCCTTCATCTTCTTTTAGAAACTTCAGAATAGAACGAAATAATGTTTTGTACACTAAAATTTGCAATCCACATTTTGAAGATACCGCATGTTTGAGTAGTAATTTAGATACCACCAAATACTTTCATAGAGATTACCTAATATGATAGATTCTTAAACAACTTCTAATAATTAAAGCTACAGAGCATACAAACCTTCATTAGTGACTGAGTAATTCTGAAAAGGTGTATTACATTTTCTTGATTTTCAGTTTTTAACTCATTTATTTCCACCTAAGTAAACAGAAAAACAACTGTTTTATATTTCATAACCTTTAGGCAAAAATAACTATTCCAGTAATATCATTCACTCATTTCAAGGACAACATAATAAAGCATAGCTAATTCAATGGTTTCAAAGACAAATTAACTATATCAACCACTGCATATATCTGTGTATTACTTATCAATTAAACACCTTGGATAAAGAAATCAATAAATTATCGGCCAGTTCTTCTTGACGAGGAAGGTCATCTGGGTCAACTTTCATTATTTCTTTCCAGTTTATATTTGGTGGCATCTTGAATTATTTCACTGTGATCCACCTTCTGTAACAAAACAGATGAGTATTAGAATTTTCAAGGTAAACATTACCGTTTTTCTAGTAACTTACATTTCTTATAGATTACCTTATTATAACTACTAGCAAAGAGCTATGGCTCCTTAATTGCAAAACAGGTTAAGCGGGCAAAATTGTCTCCATCAAAATTATAGCAGTCAGCACAAACCCTCAGATAATGAACCAGCTAAAAAAGGGTGACAACTTCCTTGTTAAAAGTAGAGATGTTCGGTGATTAAATGAAGAAAAAAATAATATTTTAAGAATTAAATACAATTATTATAGGTCCTTAGGTCAGGACTAAGATTCTGAGTCCCCCTCCTGTGGGTTCACTAACCATCAAAACACGCAAACACCAATTAGTGCCAAGCCTGTGAGATTTGGAAAGCAGAAAATGACCCCCCGTAGAAGCAGGGACGGTGGACAAAAAGTAAGGAAGCGATTAAACTGAGTGAAGTTGTGCAAGGAAAACAGGTTTACTGAAGCAAGGAAGATGGTAGACCGCAACCTGGAAGGGGCGGGGTATCCAAGATGAGGTATAGGAGACCTGCGGCAGAAGAAGAACCTAACTAGGCATGGAGATTCGCTGCTCCCCCAGCTTACAAGGATCCACCCACCCACACCAAGCCTGGCAACCAATAAAGGTCCTTCGTCAACCGCACCCACCAAACCGCTCCCGGATAGGGCGCGTTCACCGCTCCCTAGTGCGGCTCCGCAAGAACTCCGGGTCCCGCCAACAGATACAGAGAAAGGGAAAGCGGCGGCGGCTGCTAGGCGACACTACTTCCCACCCAGCCAAGGCCAGAACTAGGCCCCGGATGCAAAGGGAGCCTACATTTCACGACTGTAGGTGATGCTTTACGTTAAGATTTCCCGCCGAGGTCCATGAACTCTGCGATAAGGACTGAGTGAAAGCGTGGGATGAGGACTCCAGATCCCAGAATGCAGTTCTGCCTGAGGCTTATGCATGCTGGGAATTGAAGTCTCTACAAAGAAGGGGTAGAGCATTCCCGGCGTGCAGTGCGGGAGGCTGCGACGGTACCCGGCTGGCAGGGAAAGGTCCGGGAGGCGGTAGGCTGAGGCTGTCGCGCGTCCTCACTGGTGGCCTGAACGAGGTAGATCGTGACTATGGCTTTGATGTTGTCACTCGCCGGACTGCTCTTCCTGAGGTTTCCCTAAGCCATTTCCAGGTGGAACTGCGTCCAGGTGAGGTCAGGCTCGGTCAGCCGGGGAGGAGTTGAGGGGCTCAGTCCCGGCTTAGTCTGAAGCTCCTTCTGGCCAAGGGGCCTGGCCCTGGTTTTGAAGAGGTGTGACTATTCTACCTTCTCCTTAGGTGTTTGCAGATGGCGCCCAATGTAGTGACTTCTGTATGGAGAAGGCAAAGTTTAGTCTTTGGGATCAAAATTTGCCTCGGTATCGTGGTGGGGTGGGAGCCGTGAGGTAGTGATCCTGATTTAGGGGCTATCGAAGAATTGAGACAACCACCTTTTCTACCGGTAGCACCATTGCCTTTTCGGATTGAAGGGCTTGAAGGCTGAGAAACTAATATAGATCGAAAATTCTAGACAAGAGAGTTTGGTATTTGCCTGAGATACTAAGGAAGGAGTAGAGAGGGGGTCGCAGAGGACGGGGTCGTCCTGCTGCTGTCACTTACTTGGTTAACGAGGGGTGGCCCCTCTGTGAAGGCTTCTTCTTAGGTGTTTACTGCTCTTAATCTTTGCTCTTCTCGCTGCTCTAAACTATTCTGGAGTATCATGGTACACCTGTCGGCAACTTTCTTAACTTGTAGTCTTGAAATCTAAACAATAATTCCAACCGTGATCGGTTCCCTCTCATCTCCCCCTTAGTGCCTCTTATTTTTAAACTTTGACAATACGTTTTCTTTTTGAAAACAAATAGTAGGTGTCTTTTCAAAACACGTGTTTGGATAAAATTAAGAAATGGCTCAATAAAAAATTTTAGAAAACGCTGATTTTGTGAGATAAAATTTAAAGACAGTCATCAGCTATGTAGAAACTTTTTAAAAATTCTTTTGCTGAAAGATTATGTACCAAATATTGTTCACTATCTCATGTAATTTTCATAGCCATGCAGTAAAGTAGGTGCTTTGGAAAGGTTAATTGCTCTGCTGGAACTTAATAGTTTTACTGAACCATCTTTCTGTCTGGAGGACATGTTCTTAACTGCTGTTGCCTCCTAGTCCTGGGAACCAATGTTGTAAAGTGCTTGTTGTTTGACATTGCTATTTTTATTGAATATTGTTATATTCTAATTTTATAGTTTTATTTACTCAAGATTTTAATTAAGTATTCTTCACGTTCAGTATTTTTAATTCATAATTTAATACAGGATAGTAAAGATAACATTTAATTCACATTATGTCATCTGAGGGACCTTCAAAAAGTTCAGAAATAAAGTGCACGTTAAGAAAAAACTGTGTGTGTATTTCAAAGTGTTTTTGCACCAGAATAAAATGGTGAAATACCTTTGTACTATATTCGCTATTGTATATTCATTTGCCTAATAGCAATTATTTTACTATAGCACCTTGTTTTTCTTGTGGTTTTTTTTTTTTTCATTCTTTGTAGTTACTACTTTCTATTCATCTACTAGTTTTATATTGTTTGTCTGTATTGGTCTAGTCTACCTTTATTTCTTACACTCGCTTGTTCACATTTATATTCCCAGCAACTCAAGGTGCCTGGTCTAATGGTAAGTTTCATTCTTATTTTTCAGAAGTGAGAATGGATTCAGAGAAACAATTTCCTAATAATTAATGAAGCTAATATTGTAACCTAGATTTCAACGACAGTCCTGCCTAAAGGCAAAATCTTGCTCCAACTTTTTTCTTTAACTCGTTCTCATGATATTTTTGAGCTTGTACACTGTGCCAGACACTGGGGATCTAGTAGGTAGCAAGTTAGCTATGGTATAAGTCCTTAAGCACTTAGTCTATTTGTACCTAACTTGAATCAGGAAATTTAACTTAAGATCTAGTTTGGTAGTATATACTTTTGAGAAAAAATGCTTAAACTCTCCATTATTTTGTATTAGTGTTTGTGCATCAATTTTCACCAAAAGACAGATTTATACGACAAGTTTGTAAATGGCCTTATTATAGGAATACTTGCCTTCTTTCTTCTCTAGGTTTTTATGAACAGTTTTATCTGACCGAAATCACTTCCCAAGAAAGCCTTGCCTTTTTTTAAATTGCTACCTCTTTTCTCTGTACCAATGCACATATATTCTTTAGATGTCAATTCTAATCCTTTTCTGCTGATTTACCAAGAAAATGAATGATAGCTTACTTGTACTTTTATACTATTTATGAATGATAGCTTATTTTACTTTTGTACTAAAATAAAGCATGACCATAAGAAATTCAATACCCATTCTGTATAGTAGATGTTTTGTTTTGCCTTGTTCTCATGGAGAGGAATGAGTATGTGGCAAGCATGTACTTGTCTTCCTTCAACATGAAGAGACTAGAAAGATTAGTAGGTCTCAGTGTGAATATAGACTTCGTGAACTTTGCAGACTAAACAGTTTTACACTCTTTAAAATATCAATAAATTATAGTGGATTCCACCAACAACTCTGGAAGCTAGGCAAAAATTTTTAAAAAGAGTAATGGTTCAAATTTCTGAAGTATAATAAATTCCAATAGCAAATTCTATATTCATAAACACAAATTTCCCAAGTGGGAAAATACAATAAAGATGTTATACGTCATTCAAGTTCTCAGAATATTTACCTCTGAGGGACCCGCAGTTAGCATGATGGCTATGTCGCTGGACTCCCATGTAGTTGACTGTGGTTCGAGTCCCGGACCTGGTGGCTTAAATTCACGCCAGGCATGTTTGCTTGCGTGCCCAAGGTCCCGAGAGGAGCAGAAGGGATTGTGGCGTGACCATTCCCCCCTGGGGGGTGATTTCTCTTTTGCTGTCTCTCTGTCTGTCTGGGGAGCGCACATACCCTGTAGCAAAAACCTCTCCATAAAAAAAGAGCTCAGACATGGAATCACCTGACGTTATGCCTAAAAGAGCCAGTCATCTGTGGGAGTAAAGACTGGAGATGGGGTGATAGTTACAAATAGATCTCAGCAAAGAAAATCTGGACATCACCATAATTTTTCTTTAAGAGTCAGCTAATATTCTTGCCTGCTATGTTGCATTGGATTTTGCATTTCTTTAAGCCTAATATATCGTAAGGATTTCCTGATTCTGAATATAGTTTAATACTTTTCCATGTATTATATGTTCCTTACATAAATCTTTCATCTGACTTTAGATCTATACCCACTCTCTCTGCTCAGGTAAAACTTTTTACTGCTAGATGCAGTTTTGATTTTATCTCATATTTCTCTCTGATCTGGACAGAACTCCTACAGAGCAATCTCAAATCTTCCAACTCTCTCTGAATAGTATGCTGGTTTTCTATTGCTACTGTAACAAATTATTAGAAACTTGGTAGATTAAAATAACAGATTTATTATCTGTTTATCAGTCTGAAGCCTAAACTGGGTCTCACTAGATTGAAATCAGGATGTCACCAGGGCTCATTTCTTTTATGGACTCCAATGAAGGACCTGTTTTTTGTTGTTATTTTTTTTTTCTTTTATCTTTTCCAGCTTCCAGAGGCTGCCCTTATTTCTTGACTGTGGCCCCCAGCCAGCAATTCATATCACTCTGACCTCTGCTTTTCTGAGTCTCCTGCCTCCCTTTTTATTCATAAGCATCTTGCTGTTGAATTAGACCCATCAACATAATCCAGGATATTCTCCTGATCTCAAACTCCTCAATTTCATCACACCTCTAAAGTGTCTTGCTGATAAGGTAACATATTCTCAGGTTTAAGAGATTAGGACGTGCATAATTTGGGGAGGCTATTATTGTGTCTACCACAAGTGATAACACTGAAATTGATACTTTTAACTGCTCAAGCTAGAAAATTATGTTATCAGCCTATTTAAGAGTACTTTTCAACTTTCCCATAGGGCTGTTTTTTCAGTGTCTTCCTATTAATACAGTTCTTTCCCCTCTAAACCATTCCCTCACTGAATTCTTTTTAAAGTAGTGATTCTTAAATTTTCTTTTCATTTAATTATAAATTATCATTAATGAAGCTTATTCTCTAGGTTAAAAGCCTTTGTTGGAATGGCCTAAAGAAACATCATGGTTTAGTTTAGCTCTCTCACAAACTCATATGCCCCAATGATAAAGCAGATAGCATAAATCAGATAAATCAATATGAATGAGACAATTTGGAATAGGTCTACTACAGTTAGCTGGCTACTGTACACATAGCCTAAATGCATTCAGGAAAAATATTTTTACAAGGCTTTTGACCAAACTAAACAAGGCTACAGGCTATAAGTTTGGTCTTATGATTTAGGTAGTAGTTCATCTGTAGATACATAAAGTAACTAAAGTATAAACTTCATCAGCATTTCAGAAAACTCATGCTCAGTGTCTTTTCTAGTATTTGTTTTCACACACAGATTTGTTTTAGATATATCAGATCTAGATTTTTAGAGTTAACCTTGTATATGTTTATTTCTCAGATAGCCTGAAAAGTAGTTCTCTATCTAATTAGCCTGAGAGACAGGTCCAGAAATTAAGTGTGATAATAAAGAACTGTACTAGAGGTAAGAAAATATTTGAAGGAAGAAGTAATTCTGCCTTAGTTTAGCAATATGGAGAGGTCAGCAAATGCTTCTTAGAGGAGGATGGCATAAGAACTAAGCTTGTCTCAGCACCAGCAGATGGCATAATGGTTATGTCGCTGGATTCCCATGTACCAGGCACTTGTGTGTATGTGCCCCAAGTCCCCAGAGAATGGAGGAGAGAGTTGCGGTGTGGACATCCTCCCCTGGAAAATGATTTCTTGCTTTCTGTCTCTGTTTCTCCAGCAAACTCAGACACTCTATAGCAAAAACCTCTCTAAAAATAAATAAATATACAAATAAATAAATAAATAGCTGAATTTTTCTCTAGAGAATTAGCTTCATTTATTTTACTTGTCTACCTACTAAAATTGAACTTATTTTGGGGAAAAAAAGTTGCTCATTTAATTTTATCTCTAATTTTTTTCCAGTTTTTGTCTACAAGTGCTTATGGAAAAGATGACAGACATCAACCTTAAAGAAATAACCTTAATAGTAGGTATGGTTACTGCCTGTTACTGGAACAGCCTCTTTTGTGGTTTTGTTTTTGATGATGTTTCAGCAATACTGGATAATAAAGACCTGCATCCATCTACACCTTTAAAAACTTTATTTCAGAATGATTTCTGGGGAACCCCTATGTCTGAGGTAAGAAATTACTTTTCCATTACCCATATGTATCTCAGATTTACATAGTCTGGTAGTTTGTTACTACTTTTCTTTTCTTTTAGAGATTTTTTTGCCATAGGGTACTTGCACTCGCCAGAGAGAGAAAAAAGACAGAAAGCAAGAAATTACTTCCCAGGTGATGACCACACCTCAATCCCTTCTCCTCCATTCTCCTCTTGGGATTTTGGGCACGTGCGCACGCACACACATACACACACACACACAACTGGCATAAGTTTTTTAAGCTCTAGGTCCAGGATTTGAACTACAGTCAACTATGTGGGAGTCCAACAACGTAACCATTACACCATATGCTGGCCCCAATTTTTTCTTTATCAACATTGTCATCATAGCAATTACAGGTTTTCCTGAAAAAATTTATGTGAGATATTAAATGTTTATAGTAAATCAAACAGCAAGTTGAAGATGTGACTATTTTCTTTAAAGAAGTAAATTGATTCTTGGCTGTGAAATTTGGCTTAACTTTAAAACTCATTTATTTATGTAAAAACCAAGTCTGTAAAAACCAGCTCTGTAGAAAGAGCAGTAGGTGTTACACAAAGTTTTCCTGAAAAAATTTATGTGAGATATTAAATGTTTATAGTAAATCAAACAGCAAGTTGAAGATGTGACTATTTTCTTTAAAGAAGTAAATTGATTCTTGGCTGTGAAATTTGGCTTAACTTTAAAACTCATTTATTTATGTAAAAACCAAGTCTGTAAAAACCAGCTCTGTAGAAAGAGCAGTAGGTGTTACACAAATGTTTTTCTTCCTCTGTAAAAACCAAGTCTGTAGAAAGAGCAGTAGGTGTTACACAAATGTTTTTCTTACTAACTGACTTTTTCTCTTCTGTCTCATGAGTCTTGATAAATATGACTGTTACATATTTGAACCATTTAAAAATGTGTTAAGTAGAAATAGATTAGACCTTAAGGGTAAAAATACTGATAGTAAGTATGCATATTTGTCCGATTCTCTGCTGGGGCAAGAAAAAAGTAATTTATGAAAAATTTAAGGTCTATACCTATCTCTTTGCTAATAGTTATTTGATTTACATATTGAGGACCCCAAAATTTATTTATTTTCATGAGGATGTTTTTACTCTGACAATTACTTAATTATTAGATAAGCAGACTTTATTTTTCTGTAGCCTTTCTAGTCTCACTCAGTTCTACCTTTCAAAAAAATATTTTGATAACAAGGGAAATATATGTCCCTATTATAACATACATATTTTTATGAACAACTTATTCTTTAAAAAAAAAAAAATTGGAGGGGGTGCAGCAGGTAACATAGTGGTTAAAGCCCTGGACTCCCACATGGCCGACCATGGTTGAAGACCTGGATCCATCAGCTTGAAACTCAGGCTGGACATATGTGTGTACATGCCCAAAATCGCAAGAGGAGAATGGAGGAGAAGGGATTGAAGCATAGCCATCCCCCCAGGGGGTTTTCTATTGGTTTCTGTCTTTGGTGAGTGTGTGTACCGGTGATCTCTTGGTTTCTGTCTTTGGTGAGTGTGTGTACCCTATGGCCAAAAAGCTCTCAGAAAAAAAAAAAAAAAAAATTCTTCAATTCGGTTCATTTAAAAACATTGACAGAATTAATTTGCAATTTCACATGTAACAAAAGTAAAAGTGGTATTTATAACTGTGCCTTACAAGTTACCAAAAAACTACAATCTTGCAAAAAATTGCAAACATTTTGCCTCCTAGTCAGACATATCTTTTAGGCAGCATGCTCTTTTGATGATAGATAAATTAACAGATAAAATTATTGTGAACTATTTCAGACAATATGTTTTTCTCTTGTAAACAAAAGTTTATCATTTGCAATCATTTTTTTGTCTCACACCCACCATCCGCTATCCACTTTCTACCAACTGCTTTTACCTCTTACTGTCGCTAACATCCACACTGATCCTCTCCAGCATCACATATTCGGATCTCTCAACTTCTGCCATAAACTGCAAATACTCATTACAAATTGAGTGGGGATATATAATGTATATCTTTTAAAGTCTGGCTCATTTCACTCAACATTAAATTGTCTATATTCATACATTTTTAGTTGAACAATATTTCATAGTGTATATATGCCATAATTGTTCAACCTAATCATCAATTTTTGGACGTTTAGGTTGGTTCCATGTTTTAGCAATTTTAAATAGTGCTATAATAGACATGGATATGCAGATAGATGTTTTTCCAGTTGAATATTTTCTTATCTTTGGGTAGATACCAAGAAGTGCGATGGCTGGGTCATATAGAAGTTCTATTTGTAAATTTTTTTTTCCCAGAAATCTCCATATTGTTTTTTAGAGGGGTTGGACTAATTTACATTCCCACCAACAGCGTGAGAGAGTTAACTCTTCACCACAGCCTCACTAACACTTATCGTTCTTTATTTTTTTGAGCCTAGCCATTTTAACTGGAGTTAAATGATATTTCGTCGTAGTTTTAATTTGCATTTCCCTTATGACAACAGAATTTGAACATTGTTTCATATGGTTCTTGTCCACTTGTAATTCTTCCTTAGAGAGTTGTCTTCAGTTTAATTTCCCATTTTTTATTTGGATTGCTTTTTGAGAGAGAGATTTTTTTTTACTGTAGGGTGCATACACTCACCAAAGAGTTGGAGAGAGAGAAAGCGAGAAATCACTCCCCCCACACCCCACCCTGGGGGGGATGGCCACGCTGCAATCCCTTCTCCTCTCAGGATTTTGGGCACGCATGCACACGTGGCCGGCATGAGTTTTAAGCCCAGGATTCAACTACGTGTGAGTCCAGTGATGTAGCCATGACACCTTCTACTGGTTCCAGGATTCTTTCTTCTTTTATGAATGAGGTGTTAGAGTTCCCTATACATTCTAGATATCAGTTCCTTATCTGAGAGATAATTTGCAAATATTTTCTTCCCTTCTAAAGGTTGTCTTTTCACTTTAGTTATAATTCTCACTATTAGAACACTCTTTAGCATGATGTAATCTTGCTTGTGTATTTTAGGGACTATTGACTGTGCATGAGTAGCTTATTCTTACTACCTTACCCATCATTCTCAGAAACCCTTAAAAGTATGTGTCCACTCTCCCAACTTAGGCTAATATCTTTTGTGATTTTAGCGATGATATTGAGATTTCAAACTGAGAGTTTAGCTGGCCAGAATAAAAGGTCTCATGTTATGATATCAGTGCTCTGTTTTGTGATTTCCTCAGCTTTGCTCATTGAAAATTTGATTTTTTTAAGAGCATCTATAAGCAGACAAAAAGATTAATAATAATATACTCAATGGATACTATACTCAAATTTTGCTCATGTAAAATTGGATTTATTATCAACAGAAATCCAATAAAGGTGTCTATTCTTATATCCTAAGAAAGTTTTTGCTTTCATATTATTCTCTGTAATATTTAGAATGTTTAGTTTAACATAATTCAGGTTTATACATTATAGAGCTATTTTTTTGCAAAACAGCTAGCTAGAGGCTACTGTTTTGAGCTGTCACTGTTTCATCTGAACTGGTACGTATTCTGTTCTTCTATTTCATTTTGAAGATTTAGCCAATAGTTAGTTCTCTGATCATTATATATAATGGCACAAGTTGTTTTGTTTCTGTGCTACAGAAATAGAAAATCAGATTATGGACCTATCTTTATATTCGTATTAGTGTAGGGCGTTTTGTTATTTATTGTTAATCCTTAGCCAGATATAAACATATTCAGTAATAAATGCAGTGATTAGTTATTTGTTCCCTTAAGGGCCAAAATACCTTAATAATCAGTGATTATTTTTTTCTTTTAGGAGAGAAGCCACAAGTCTTACCGCCCTTTAACAGTATTGACGTTTCGCTTAAATTATCTGTTTAGTGAACTAAAACCAATGACATATCATCTCCTAAACATGATTTTTCATGCTGTGGTTAGTGTGGTATTTCTTAAAGTCTGCAAACTTTTTCTGGACAACAAGAGTAGTTTGATTGCTTCTTTACTTTTTGCAGTGCATCCAGTACACACAGAAGCAGTAAGTAAAACATCTTGATTTCTTTCTTCTCTCTTTTTTTATATATATACTACATAATGATTATAGTGTTATGTATTTGTAAGAAAATATTAATAATTTAACTGTGATTTCAGTATGTGAAGATTCAAATTAGTACAATAGGGCTAACTTCTTACTGCATACAATTTTCAAATTTAAGACAATTTATAAAACAAACATTCAAGAACATGTACCCTTTTTTTTTGAGACATTTTTGCTCTAGGGCACATACGATCACCAGGAAGATAGAGACACAGAGAGACAGAAAGTGAGAAATCACCCCCCGGGGGCATGGCCCCACCGCAATCCCTTCTCCTCCATTCTCCTCTCAGGATCTTGGGCACGCATGCACATGTACCTGGCATGAGTTTAAGCCACCAGGTCCAGGACTTGAACTGCAGTTGACTACGTGGGAGTCTAGCGACATAGCCATTATGCCATGTGCTGAATGTGACTCTTTTTTTTATTTTTTCTTTTCTTTAAGAGAGATTTTTGCTGTAGGGCATGTGCACTTGCCAGAGAGGCAGAGAGACAGAAAGTGAGGAATCCCCCTGCAGGGGAATGGCCACACCACAATTCCTTCTCCATTCTCTCCTCGGGATTTTACATGCGTACACGCCCAGTCTGAGTTTAAAGCTGCCTGGTCCAGAACTCGAACCACGGTCATTTATGTGGGAGTTCAGTGACGTAACCATTATACCATCCGCTAGTTCCCAAGAACATGAATCTTTTAATTTTGGTCATGTAAAACAAACAAGTACATTTATTTGCTAATCATTTTTTATGAATATAGATTAAAAAAATTTTTTTTCAACTTTTCAATGTTACTTTTTCAGAAGACAGATGCATTTAACTAAGGAATGACTATATCAAAATACATGGTTATGTGAACAGACTTTCAAACTAATGATGATACTTGGTAGTTTCATATTGCCTTTTGTCACATGTTTTAAATTGTGAGCTATCTCTGCTATTGCCAATATGTCCATCAGCCCCTACCTACCATGACATAACCAAATTAATTTTATTTTTCTTGGTAACCTTGAAGCTCCAAAGTTGCCTCCCAGCAGAAGTACTCTTCCCTGAAGTTTTGTTATAAGTTTTCAGTTACAAGGGAAATCTCTGTGTGTATGTGTGTGTTTATTGGGGAGACTGTGTGTCTCTCCCAATGTCTTAAACCTTCTAATGTCTAACCAACCTTACATCTACAAAAAGGATAGGTTGTTTTAAGTTTTACAGTGAGTTCAAAATGTTTCAAAGGGAGAGGTATAGGATTTCATACTTAGATTTTTGGAATTTAATAAGGCTTTTTAAAGTATATTGTCATTTTAAACTTTAGTCTTCAGTTTTGTTATGAGATAACTTCCTGATTTTCAATACCTTTGTGTTTTAAAAAACTACGGAAGGACATAAAATAATAACCAGATGAGATAATGCTTTTGTTAGCTAAACTTAACCATTCTACTATATACACACACTCACACACACACACACACACACACACACACATATATAGTCTTAACTTCGTGTTGTACATGATGAATACATAAATTTAAATTTATCAGTTAAAAGTAAAAACCACAAAGAGATACAAGGGAGCATTTTTAGGTAATGTATATGTTTAATACCTTAATTGAGATGATAAGATGAGTGAATGCATTATGTCCAAATTTACCATATTGAATACATTAAGGTTTTTGTCATAGGGTGCATGTGCTCACTAGAGAGAAGAAAGAAGTAAAGTGTGAAATTACCCTCTAAGGGGATGGCCATAATGCAGTCCCTTCTTCTCCATTCTCCTCTTGAGATTTTGGACATGCATACACACACGCCTGGTGTGATTTTCAATCTACCAGGTCCAGGGCTCAAACCACAGTTGGCCATGTGTGAGTCCTTTGCGTTAACCACTGTGCTACCTGCTGGTCCGGTTTTAAGCATTTTTTTGTGTATCTGTTGTAACTCAGCAAAGCTGGAAAAGAAGAAAGGTCTTAGCTTTTGAATGAGGTACTATTGTAGATACTGTATATAATTAAGTAAGATGTTACCACTGACAGAAGCTGGGTAAAAAATATGTAGCTCACTGTACTAAGGTCCTCTGTGTACTAATTTTTCTAACTTCCTGTAAGCATATAATTATTTTAAAATCAGTTAACGATAGTAAAAAGAGAGATGATAAAGTCACTGTTAAATTTTCGTTTATGTGAGATACACAAATTCACCACCTGAGGGCACTCAGAGAATGTTAAGAAAGAGAAATTTACACTTTAAAAACACAGAATTTGGTTCTTAGTTAAAGTGCTATCACTGTTAAATATAGTAAGTTTTCAAGATCATTTTTATTAATATGAACCCCTCTCCCTTTCCCTTTCTAGGTAACAGGAGTTGTAGGAAGAGCAGAACTTTTGTCATCTATTTTTTTTCTAGCTGCCTTTTTGTCATATACCAAATCCAAAGGACCCAATAATTCCATAGGTAAATGTCTGACATTTTGACTTCATCAAGTAACTTTTATTTACTCATAGTACTGCTTATAAACCATTACATTACCACACATGGGGTTTATCTTTGTGTATTCTGTTATTTTATTGTATATGAAGATATATGACACTGGCAGTATTTTAAGTTTATGTGCACTTATATTTTATCATGAGCTAATAGATTCTATATGATCTAGTTTTTAAATGAAATAACCATAGCATATAGGAGTTTTAGAGTTAATCCTAGTTGTGCTATTATCTATAAAGACACAAGTGTCTGATAAATAACACCTGATAGGTTATGCTATTTTTTAGGCAACTTTAAAACTACGGGTAGGGTTAGGCAACAATAAAAGTGTGCTAGAGTATAAATTGTATTATGTGTTGATCATAGTTCAGTATTTATTGAGTCTCTGCCATGTGGTCAACCCTGGTTAAGTGCTTTGTGTAAATTAGCATATTAGTTATAACAATGTTGGTATTGTGGGATAACAAAATGACTTTTAGAGTGTGGATAAAGTGGGCCTAAAGGCTGTTTTATGTAATAGTCTTAACATTTATTTGGCTGATCTTAAAAATTTAAATGACTTCAAGTTAAATTATTCCTAGGATCTTAGGAGGATTTTCTCACTGTAGTCCAAGGGTACTGATGGTAAGAAGCCTAATTTTGGTTGAAGAAATAGGTTTCTTAGGTTTGTAACATGAATAGGTTTACTTCTTATTGTGCATGTTGCCTTCTTAAGACTATGGGAGTGGCAGCACAGCGTAGTTGTTAAGCATGGACTCCAAAGTCTGGTTTCAAATTCCAGTTCTTTGTATTTACTAGCTTCATTTACTAACTTGGGCAGATTGTTAGCCTTGTTGTGCTTTAGTTTAACTATAAAATGGATAATAGTTCCTCCCTATGCTACCTATCATGCAATAAGAGTTGAGTACCTAATATGGAATTGCAAATCAGTATCTTCTCTAAGTATCATCCTAAGCAAAGCATGAAGGATAAACTTAGAAACTACCACAACCTATGAGACCATGATCAGGCTCCTTCTACATTACCTCTGGAAGCATATTTCCTGTCATTTTTGCCCTAGCTTGCTTCACTGTAGCCAGATAGGTCTTCTTGCTGTTCTCAAATACATGAAGTGCCTACCTTTATACCTCTTTTCTTTTTAAGAATTATTATTTAATTTTATTCATTATTTTTTTAATTTGCTGTAGGGCACATGTGCTCACCAAGAGAGAGAAAGGGAAAGTGAGAAAGCAAGCCACCAGGTCCAGGACTCAAACCATGGTCAGTCATGTGGGAGTCCAGTGTCGACACTACCATGCCACCTAATGGCCCTTCTTTTTCCTTTTTATTTTCCTTTCAGAGCAAACTTCCCTGTTCTATCTAACTAGCCCTTCATCTTACATTTTTCACTCCTAATTTCACTTTGTTCTTTTTGCTGTTTTCTTATTCTTCCCTTATTTCCTTAAGAATTATCTATTTGAAATTCTTGGTCTATCTTTTCAAATAGTTCTGATTTACTAGTATATGTTACTATGTGCTTTCTCTCTTTCTGTCCCTCATGATTATTGTAAACTTTAGAGAGTTAGTTATTTTGACTTTGTAAGTTTAAGATGCATTTTCTCCTAAAGTTACCAATTACTGTACCTGTTAAGGGGAAGTGCCAGGCCCTTTCTGTTCATCTTGTGATCCTGAAGAGATTCAGAAGGGAGGGTTCCAAGCTTCTCGGGCCACTGTTGAATCACTGCTATCAGTTCTACCAACTCCCCCCACTAGTCTCTTAAAGAGAATCAGTATTGAGAAGTATTGAGAAGAAGCCAGTCCACCATTTCACTGTATTTAGATCCAAGTGCATGAAAATTATTGCATAAGGGGATTGATCAGTTTACACCTTTTAAAAAAATCTACTTCTTATCCCCTCAAGACTTCTGAAGTGCTCTGATCTTACTCTGGAATATAGCCAGTTTAGCTCCTGATTTCTAGAATAAAGGAACTGGTAATAATCAACATCAAGCAGTCAAGAGAGGCAGTGATAAGTTAAACATGTCTTCTCACTCTTGTCTTCCACTCTAAATACAGTCCCTAATAACACCTACAAAGGCACACATCTTAAGGTATTTTTAGGGCTACCTGGTAGCATGGTGGTTAAGACAGCTGGAGCTTACATGGCCAACTGCATAGTTCGAGTCCCAGACCCAGTTGCTCAGAAGCCTGATAGGGAGGAGAAATGGAGGAGAAGAGATTGAGGCATGACCATTCCTCAGGAAGGTCACTTTCCCTGTCTTTCTAATGAATGCACCGCCCTTTGGCCAAACAAACAAACAAACAAACAAAAACCCTTAGAAACTATATTTTTCTCTGTTTGAATCTTAAACAACATGCTATGCTAATTCCCCATTTGACAAAAACAGAATCACTTTATTTTCTGTACCTTTAATTTGTATTTTTCACAGTATTGATTTCTAACTTGAAAGCATATCATTTACATTTTTCTTTGCATCTTTATTATTTATTGTCTCACAATAGAATCTAACCTTTACTAGGGTAAATAAGGTTTTCTCATTTTTGATTTCCATTTCCTAGAATTTTCCCTGATACATGATAGGCGTCCAGTATATATTTGTTGAAGAAAGAGCAGAGGAATGAATGTAATATATTTTAAATTCTAATTGAAAAGATGCTAAAACTCACTTTGTTCTGCTCTCTGTCTTTTTAACCCCAATCTCTGTACTCTATTCATTTTACTCTCAAGGCCACAGTTTCGTTATCATCTTTGTATTCTCCTTTGTATCTAGACTGCATGTTTCTTTCTAAAGATTTTCAATTTGTAATTATTTAATCACCTTAAGTTTAGATTATTTGGGAGCCAGCAGGTGGTGTGCCGGCTGGGGCGCTGGACTCCCACATGGGCCACCATGGTCTGAGTCCTGTACCTGGTGGCTTGCTTTCTCACTTTACCTCTCTGTCTCTCTGATCAGAGTAAAAAATAATGGGTAAAATTAAATAAATTCTTTAAAAGTAAGTATATAAATAAGTAAATTTAGATTATCCTTGCCCCATATCCTCATCCTTTTCTTTTTTTTTTGGAGGTATTTTTGCTATAGGGCACATATGCTCACCAGAGAGACAGAGACAAAAAGCAAAAAATCACCCCCTGGGGGAATGGCTACGTCATAATCCCTTCTCCTCCATTCTCCTCTTGGGATTTTGGGCATGCATGCACACACACCTAGAGTGAGTTTTAAGCCCCTGGGTCCAGGACTCGAAATACAGTCAACTATGTGGGAGTCAATCAATGTAGCCATTATGCCATTGGCTGGTCCCCCCCATACCCTTTTTAAAGCCTGGTGCAATTTCAAGGGTCTTTATACTTGCTTTTGCATTATTTTTGGTTTATGCACAAATGTTACCTTTAACATTATAAATAATACCATTCATGTTCCCAATTTTTATTTCCTTCACCTTCTGTTTTTCTCTATAACAGAAACTTTGTCACCTATTTGACAAAGTATATCATTACTTTTTTATTTGGATATTCTCTCTGCCCTCCTGCTTGAAATGTAGCAGTATTTGAAACAATTTGAATATATGATTGCTAAAGGTGTGTATCTTTTTCACATGTAGAATCTGCTCAGGGAAACTAGAATGCATTTTTATTGCTCAAAACCAATCCTCTGCTTGTATGGTATTTTTTTTTTAATGTCATTAACTTATGTAACAGGTGTATTTGTTCTGGAGAAAATCAAGTAATAACAGGTCACAGAGATCTGATTGTAAAATCAAAGTGACTAAATTTTGGCAACCTCTATTGCCAAAAACGTTTTGGTGGCATAGGCATAGGGCACCACATGGGAGGCCCAGGTTCAGATTCCAGGTCAATTCAAGTTGATTATATTGGGTATTCCTACATATGCCAGTGATCCAGGCTGACTTGGAAGCTGTTGGGAGGATCATAGTATGGTGAGACCCTTTCTTTCATTCTCACTTTCTCACAAAAGAAAGAAAAAGAAAAGTCAGAACTCAGAAAACCAGTTAGAAGGAATTACTCATAGTTCGTTGCTCTATGATCAAATTACTGCTAAGTGGTAGACTACTTAAAGTTGATGTAGTAGGTCTTCCAGTAAATGGAACTCAGGAATATTTTGTATGCATTTTTTTAAAAGAACAGTATTGATTCAAAGCCTATTGTTAATGTTTTACTTTATTTTTCCTAGTCCTTTTTTTATAAGAATAATACCCCAATTTGCCCAGCAGTTTTAAATTTTAAGTTCTTAATAAATTACAGATACAATAATGTCTGCATCATTATTTCAGGTGTTAGTCTTCATTTCAGATTAATAGCTCATTAGTTATGATATTCAAGCCTGTAAATTCTTCTTCACCTTCATCTTCCTGCCTTTATTTTAAAAGCTAGTATTTGTTTAGAAACTTTCCTCTCTACAGATTTTTTTTTAGTTTAAATTATATGTTTTGATGTTTTGCTTTGAATATATAAATCAAAAATCACTTACATAATTTTAAACACCTTAAAGTATAAAATAATGAGTCCGTAGGATATAACACAAGTGTGAATATAGAATTGCTAATGAATTTTAAGTATTTCTTGTGATTTTATAAAATTGTTTTGTGTAGTTTTATATTTTTTCTGTTATTTAATTGCAGTGTGGACTTCAATTGCATTGACAGTATTTTTAGTGGCTGTTGCAACATTGTGTAAAGAACAAGGAATAACAGTTGTGGGAATTTGCTGTGTGTATGAAGTGTTTATTGCCCAAGGGGTAAGGAAAAATACCAATTTTCATGTTGCTATCTTCTATCTTAATTGAATCAGATTTTAATTTTTTGTTTAAACTTTTTTTTTTCTTTTTCAGTATACCTTGCCATTATTATGTACTACTGCTGGACAGTTTCTCCGTGGAAAGGGTAGTATTCCATTTTCTATGCTGCAGACACTAATAAAACTCATTGTCTTGATGTTCAGTACATTATTACTCGTTGTGATTAGAGTCCAGGTTATTCAGTCCCAACTTCCAGTGTTCACCAGGTATGAAATTCTGGTTCTTTTTTACTTTTTCCATTCTGTGTTTTTAACTTTAGATTTTAAGTGATGATAAATGTTCCAGAAAGTCCTTGATGTACATTTCTTTTGGGAGGGGGTGGAGAGATTTTTGCTGTAGGGTGCGTGCGCTCACCAGAAAGACAGAGACAGAGAGACAGAAAGCGAGAAATCACCCCCCATGGGGAATGGCCACGCCGCAATCCCTTCTCCTCCATTCTCCTCTTGGGATTTTGGGCACACACGCACACGTGCCCTGCATGAGTTTAAGCCACCGGATCCGGGACTCGAACTGCGGTTGACTACATGGGAGTCCAGTGACAGCCATTACGCTAACTGCTGGTCCCTGATTTACATTATTTTTAATAGCTTTATTAGGGTATCATTAATATGTTTAAAATGTACAAATTGTAAGTGTATGCCCAGAAACCACCATTAAAGATAATGACCTCAGACTGGTTAAATTCTAAGGTTTCTATTAAGTCTTTTATGAGAGGATTTCAAAAAGTTCATGAAAAAATGAAATTAAAGTACAAGTTTATTTTGATGCAGAAAAATTTTGAAATCTATGCATAATTTTTTTCCATTATGTATTTTTCCTGTACTTTCTAAAGAACTCTCATTTCTAAAGAACTCTCATTTATCCTTTGTGATTATTTTTGTCTACTTGTTCTGTCAATTATTGAAAGAAGTGAAATCTTTATCATCATAGGTTTGTCTATTTCTCTTTGCAGTACTGTTCACTTTCACATTCTGTGATTTTTGACGCTCTTAGTGGGTGCAAAAACAGGATCCTTTGCCATGAAAGGGGTAGTGCTACACACACTAATAAAACACAATGTTTTATTAGTTGATTTTGATGTTTAGTACATTATTACTTGTTATGTGTATTACTTATATCATCTTGATGAACTTATTCCTTTATAATTATTAAATGAGCTGCTTCTTCTCTGGCATTTGTCTCAGAAACTCACTTTGTCTTATTTAATAAAACTATGTTGGGTATCTTTTTTTAGCTATATGACATAACCTTTTCTGTTTTTTAACTTTGTATCTGTCTATGTCTTCATATTGAAAAAGGATTGTTTCTAGGCTGCATTTAGTTGGGTCTTATTTTTTTTGTTTGGTTGGATATTTGACTTAAATGGGTCATTTCATTCATTTATACTTAAGATAATTACTGATAAATGAATAGTTAGATATAAATCTTCCATCTTTTATCTGTTTTCTCTTTGTCCCATCTGTTCTTTCTTCCTTTTTCCCTCTTTTTGTCTTCCTTTGGACTATTTTTTCTTACTTCATTTTATCACTTTGTTGGCTTATTAGCTAAAAATTTGACAGGACTAGCAGATGGTGCAATGGTTACAACGCTAGACACCCATATAGTTAACCATGGTTCAAGTCCCAGACCCAGCAGCTTAAAACACACCAGGAGTGTGTGCCTGTGTGCCAAAAATCCCAAGACAAGAATGGAGGAGAAAGGATTGTGGTGTGGCCATCCTTCCTGGGGGAGTGAGGAAATCACTTTCTGTCTCTTTCTCTTTGTCTCTCTGGCAAGCCCATATACCCTATAGCAAAAACTCTCTTAAAAAAAATTCTGGTTGTATCGTAAGTGATTGTGTTAGGGTTTTTGGTGTACATCCTTTGTTTATCCTAGATTATCAATGGATATTATAATTTCAAGTGCATATAATATATAATAGCATTAATATTTAATATGTATAATTACACTTTTTTTTTTTTTGGAGAGGTTTTCGCTATAGGGCACGTGCACTCGCCAGACAGACAGAGAGAGACATAGAGACAGAAAGCGAGAAATCACCCCCCAGGGGGTATGGTCACGCCACAATCCCTTCTTCTCTGTTCTCCTCTCGGGATCTTAGGCACACATGCACACGCGCCCGGCGTGAGTTTTAAGCCACTGGGTCTGGGACGTGAACCGCTGTTGACTACGTGGGAGTCCAGCGACATAGCCATTATGCTAACTGCTGGTTCCCTTACACTTCTTATACATATATAAAATAAGAACTTGTCTCTATTCTGATCTGTATTACTTTCGGTGAGGAATCCTCTGTCATCTTGATGCTTTTTCATGTGTTGTCTTTTTTCTATGGCTTTTTAATTTTTTATTCAAGAATTATTTACTATTTTTTAATATGACCAGAGAGAGACAGTGAGAGGGAAAGTGAGAAAGCAAGCTGCCAGATCTAGATTCAAACTACATTCAGAAATGTGGAAGTCCAATGCCTTAACTACCCTGCCACTTGCTGGCCCCTCAATGGTTGCTTTTAATGTTTTTTCTTTGTAATTGTTTCTTATATCTTCATGTATCTTTTGCTTAGGTAATTGATCTTGGAATCTGTGGGTTTTTACATGACAAAAATTATGGAGATTTTTTAAACTATTACTTCTATAAGTAGTTTTGCTCTCATCTTTCTCCTCTCTTTATACTTTTCTTGCACATATTTAGATTTCTTGAAGTTACTGTGCTGATACTCAGTTTATATTTCCCGCAGTCTCCTGCCCTTTTTAATTTAATTTGGGTAGTTTCTTTTGCTCTTTGAGTTCATTAATCTTTTTTCTGCACCATCTAATGTATTCCTTATTTCACCTAATTATTTCTTATCTCATCTGTTTTCATCTCTAGAAGGAGACCTCCCTTAGGTCTTTCTCTATTGTATCTTTCATGGCTCAACATATCCTACTGTTTAATGTTCTTCTCTACTAATTCTATCATCTGTGTCGTTTCTTTTCTTTTTATACAATTGCTAGAGAGCATGTTCACTTGTCAGAAAGATGGAAGAGAAAGCACTCCCCTGTGGGGCATGATCACACTGCAGTCTCCTCTCTCTTTCTCCATCATGTCAGGATTTTGGGCACACACACATACGTACCTGATGTGTTTTTCAAGCTGCCAGGACTGAGATTCAGACTGCAAGGAATCATATGGGATCTGGCTCCCTTAATTACTAGAAAACAGGGCCAGCCCCCACCTGTGTCACATTTTAGTCAGAATGTATTGTGTAAATGTTTTCATTATTGTGGATTGTGTTTTTCTGCTTCTTTGCATGCCTGATAATTTTTGAATGGGTACCATATGTGAATTTCACCTTAGAGTATTATAAATTTTGAGCTTAACTGTAGGATACATTGAAGTTATTGGGAATGTGTTTCTTCTTCTAGTCTTGCTTTCAGACTTTGCTTTGTGAGACCATAGCAGGATTTAGATAGGACTAATTTTACTCCACTACCTACACCTTTCTGACTGTTCTACCTGATTAACTGTGAATTATGAAGATTTCTACTCTGGCTTCTAAGGAACTATTCCTGATTCATATAATAAATATTTGAGGATTTTTCTCTCTAATCCTTTCAGGAGATTCTCTCCTGACCATTCGTTGTCTTTTATGTTTTAATTGCCAGAGGATATGTGTACTCACCGGAAAGCAAAACAGACCAGGAGGGAGAAAGTAACCTTTGATGAAATGTGATTGTGCTGCATCCTTTTCTTCACAGCCCTGTCCTGTCCGGATTTTGAGCACATGTAGCCAACGTGTTTTCCAAGCTGCCAGAGCTGGAATTCAAACCACAGTTGGTCATGGTGATCCAGCTCTCTTAACCACTGAGTTACAGGGAAACTATTAGTTTTCTATGGTATTAGAGCAACAGAAATTTATTCCCTCATAATTAAAGAGACCCAGAGTCCAAAATCAAGATAATGATTCAGCTAGTTTTTTTTTTCTGAAATCTCTGGGGAAGAATCATTTTGGTGTCTCTCTGCTAGTTTCTGGTGGTTGCCAGCAGTCTTTGACATTCCTTGGCTTATAGCTCCATCACTCCAATCTACTCCATCTTACATTGCCTTCTTCTCTGTGTCTTTCTGTTTGTCCTCCCTCTTTTGTATAAGGACACCAGTTGTAGTATCTTATTTTAGCTAATTACGTTGCCAAAAACCCTATTTCTAAATATGACCATATTCAGAAGTTCTGAGTAGACATGAATTTTGGGGAAACACAGTTCAAACCCACCATACTAACCTTGAGTATTTCCTCACATATATGCTGATCAGAAATCATTAATACTGAAAATTGGAGACCCTAAGCAGATGTTCTTTTAGGAACTTTCTTCTCTTGTATACTGCCCCAGTAATTCTAGCCTCCTGGGCTTCTCAAACTCCCAGCTCCATCATCTTAACTCAGATATACTGCTAGACTTGGCCTGGATGTCCTGGATATTCCACCAACTGAAAACCCTACCCAGGGCCCAGCCTTGTACAATCAGGGCAAACTGAACTACATTGCAGGAAGCCATGTATGGCTGCAGTTCTTATCCTTAGGTCATCTTGAAAAATGTGCCTGGCATGTGCTTGCCTGCCTAGGATACTAGGATTCTAAAGAGTTGGAATGCCAAGGAAAAGGGATCACAGTGTGAAGAAATCTTGTCAAGGGTGTTTCTGTCTCTCCTCTCCCTTTTATACACATACACTAACATGAATAAAATAGATAAACATTAAAAAAAATCTTATCAAGTTGTTTAGTTGTATAAGCTGAGAGGAAGTTATGCTGAATTTAACAGTCATTATATACCATAATTTCATACTCTGACATTAGCCTTTTTCCAGTTCATCTTAGCCAAAATTTAAAATATAATTTATACTTGTAGAGATTGAAATATCAAACTTTTAAAATAATATTTGTTCAAATAGTATTCAGTTTTTCTCAACCATTTGATTTTTTTAAGGAAACTAAGTCAAGTAAGTGTTAGAGGTGATTTTTCCTTGGCTTACTGATTTTAAAATGAGACATTGACTTTTCGAAGAAATAATATTATGATAGCCAATAAAATTTAGAACATACACTAAAGAAATAAAAATCCAACCCAAGGTGGCTTGTTGCAATTACTGAATCCATATGGGAAGACCCTTGGTTCAGCTCACAGATAGCCCTGAACATGTCAGGTGTGCCTGCAGGTATACCTATGATCCTGACTGGCAGGGAGATTGGGAGAGGGAGGATCACAGAGTGGCAAGACGCTACTGGGGATCCCTGTCTCTCTCTCTCTCTCTAGGCTCTTGTCTCCCTCCATCCTTCCTTCTCACCCTCTGACCCCCTCCCACTTTCTCTCGAAAGATTAGAATATGAAGTGAAAGTCTGAGGTTTTTTTCATTTGAAATATATTTGCTTTAAAAAATGATATGAGAGCCCACTCTGTAGACGGATGGTTAAGGCAGCCAAATTCCACATGGCTGACTGCACATTTCAAATCCCAGACCCAGCAACTTGAGATACACATCAAATATATGTGCATGCGTGCCCAAAATCCTGAGAGAAGGGAGAGATGGAAAAGGCATTGCCAATTGACCATCCTCTATGGTGAGATTTTCTTCTCTCCCTCTTTACAGTGAGCACATGTATTTTCTAGCTAAAATAAAACTTAAAATTATTTGACTTAGTTCACAGAAAATCAACTAAACTAATGAAATGTGTATTTAATATAACATGGCATGGAGAAATATAGACTAGTATATGAACTTCAGATAAAATGTGACATGTACTGCGCAATTACTCTGTACTGGAGATTTGGTATTTAGTTTCCTACGAGTCAAAGCACAGATGGATAGCTCCTAGGTAATGCGATTTTTTCTGTACATGAAAGAAAGATAGTAATTCTTTGTAGGAAACAGTCTTTATGAGCATTTAGCTCTAAAAGAATTGTCACATGTAGAAAAACAATAATGAGAGTTCACAAAACACAAAAATGAATTTTATTTTTTTGTAATTATATCAGGTTATAATTTAATGAAAGAAGTTCTGTAGATTATCATAGTATATATGTTTGAATTATTTTACTGATAAATTAAAGAGATGACCTGTTTGCCCTTCATATAGTTCTTTATAAAGTACTCTTTCAATTCAACATTTTATAAAGGCTAGACAGTTTGAATTCTAGCAAAAGTCTAGAATATATATATATATATATTTGCATCCTTTGTTGAAAGAGATTGCATATAAAAATGTTACTTTTATTGTTCAGTATTTTTATTACCATGTTATATAGTAATTTTTTCTAGCAAGAGTCTAGAATATACATATATATATATATATTTGCATCCTTTGTTGAAAGAGATTGCATATAAAAATGTTACTTTTATTGTTCAGTATTTTTATTACCATGTTATATAGTAATTTTATGCTTAAAAAGTGCCTTATTTTAAATTACTTTTTAAAAAATTCTTATACAGGTTTGATAACCCAGCTGCTGTAAGCCCAACTCCAACAAGACAACTAACTTTCAACTACCTCCTTCCTGTGAATGTTTGGCTTCTACTAAATCCTTCAGAGCTCTGCTGTGATTGGACCATGGGAACAATACCACTTATAGAGTCATTTCTGGATATTCGAAACCTTGCCACATTTACTTTCTTTTGCTTTTTGGGTGCATTGGGAATATTCAGTCTCCGATATCCTGGTGATTCCTCCAAGACTGTTTTAATGGTAAGAGGTTTTTTATCTTCTCAGACAATATTACATTTACGTGGTTGAGTCAGATCCTACTTTTAATTTATCAAGAATATCTTTCTTTGTTCAACATTATCCTAATTTAAAGTCTTAAAATGCAAGTAATATAAAAACAGATTATGAACTTATCTAATTTGTAGGAACTCTGAAATCATGGATTGATTTTCTAACTTTTTTTTTCTAGGGCTTTTGCAATAGGGCACAGGCCCTCACCAGAGAGAATCCATGAGAGAGAAAGTGAGAAATCGCCCCACAGTCCATTTTATTCCATTCCCCTGTGATTTTGGGCGAGCACATATACACAGCCAGTGTGACTTTCAAGCCACCAGGTTTGGGACTCAGACCATAGTGGACCATGTGGAAGTCCAGCACCTTAAACATCATGTCACTTGCTGGCCCCAATTTTCTTATATTTCTTACCTTTACCCAACTAGACTATATGTTTTTGAAGAAATAAATCATATTGGCTACTTATTTGTTTTCTGGTATAGAGAAGAATATCCTGTAAGGTATGCAACTAAAATATATTTAAGTTTTTGCCAGAGTGCATGTGTGCTTTCCAGAGGGATAGAAGGAAAATAAAACACTCCCCCCCCCCATGGGGTATGGTCATGTCTTAATCCTTTCTCCTCCATCTCTCCTTTCTGTTGGGATTTTGGACATGCTTGCATATGCACCCAGCATTTTTCTCAAACCACTGAGTCTAGCACTCAAACCACACACTCAGGGATATGAGATCCTGCCAATCCAACTACCGTGCCACAAGCTGGCCTACAGCTAAAATATATAGCTCTTCAGTTCTCGTTAGCGACATTGTCATTATTTCCTGAGATGGCTCTTACTATGTTCAGAGACTTTTAGTATTTTTTGGTTTTTTTTTTTTTTTTTGAACAATTCCTTTGTCATTTTCTTTTTCTTACCACATTTTATATTCCTAACAATTTTATTTCCTCTTCCTTTTAATTATTGAAGACAGTAATAATAGAAACAATCAGAATAATAAGTTTTCTTGAGCATTTACTATATGCCAGAAAGTGAGATCTATGTAGTTGAAAAGTGACATCTATTAGAATTACCTTTTTTGACTCTATTAGTTAGTTATTTCCTTAGAATGATTTGATTGGGAGATGAAAAAATGAAAAGAGCTAGTGCAGATAACCTGTCAGCATAATTTAACTTTGACTATTTCAATTGATGAGATAAACTTGAATTTGTTGCTTCTCTAAGTAAGAAAAGGCTATGTTGTTCAGTCAGTGACTTCAGATATTGACAGACTGCTGATCTTATGTAGGGTTTGAAGAAGCATAGAGATCTGGGATCAGTAGACCTTTAGAGGTAGGAGTGAGTTGATGTCAGGAAGAGACTGTTGTTGATTGGCATTAGACGCATTTTCATTGAAGTATTTGGTTGATTTTAAGTAAGTTTATATTACTAATAGGTTGGCTTGCAGAAATGTATTCATTAAGTTGAAATATTGATTTATTAAGTGGTTTAAAACTAGCTGCATGTGGGACTAGCAGATGGCATAATGATTACATCTCTGGATTCCCACGTAGTCAACCATGGTTTGAGTCTCAGATCTAGCAGCTAAAACTCACATTGGGCATAAGTGTGTACATGTCCAAAATCCTGAGAAGAGAATGGAGGGAAAAGGATTACAGCATAGCCATCCCCCTTGGAAGGCGATTTCTCTCTTTCTGTCTCTGTCTCTCTGGCAAGTGCCTGTACCCTAGAGCAAAAATCTCCTAAAAACAAACAAACCAACCAAAAAAATTAGCTACATGTTACCATCACAGCAAAAGTTCTTTCCTAATTATGAGGATTTGTTTTATGCCTAAGGAACTTAATGAATAGAAAACGTAGCTTAAATACATATTGTCAAAGGAGATTTTTAATGTTGAAGAGGCATGAACGTGTTTATATTTAGACAAGTATGGTTGATTACAAAGTGGTTGAATAAATGAGAGAAGGAAGAATTGATAGGGAAGAGCAGGAGGTTACTGAGCACAGGTTTGGCCTGAGATAGAAGGGCACACCTCTTAGGGTACAGGAAGGTTCCACATGTAAGTGAGATCAGTGATGTTTATCTCTCTGTATCTGGCCAATTTCACTTAACAATACTCTCCAAGTTCATCCATGTTGTTGCAAATAACAGGATTCCCTTTTTTAAGGCTGAGTAGTATTCCAATGTGTGTATATATAATATATATATCATATTTTAAAAATCTATTTATTAATGTACACTTAGGTGGATTCTGTATCTTGGCTATCATAAATACTGTAATAAACTGGGTGTATGGCTATTTCTCTACCATAATGATGTTACTTCCTTTGTATATATACCGAGTAGGAGAATCACTGAATTGCTTAAGCTTTACTTATAATTTTTTGAAGAAGCTCCATACTGTTCTTCCTAATAGCTACACTAATTTATGGTCCTTCCAACAGTATGGAAAAGTTGCGTTTTCTACAGATCCTAACACTTATTAACTCTTGTCTTTTTGTTATTAGCTATTTGGAAAAATGTGAAGTGAAATCTCATTTCAAGTTGCTTTTCCCTGATGATTATTGATGTTGAGTATTTTTCATATACCTGTTAGACATTTGTATGTCTTCTTTCAAGAAATATCTATTCAGGGACCAGCAGTTAGCTTAATGGCTATGTCACTGGACTCCCACATAGTCGACCGCAGTTCCAGTCCCAGACACGGTGGCTTAAACTCACGCTGGGCACATGTGTGTGCGTGCCCAAGATCCCAGGAGGAAAATGGAGGAGAGGGGATTACGGCGTGGCCATCCCCCCGGGGGGTGATTTTTTCACTTTCTGTCTGTCTCTGTCTTTCTGGCGAGCGCATGCACCCTATAGCAAAAACCTCTCCAGAAAGAAATATCTATTCAGATCCTTTGCCCATTGTTTTAATCAGATTATTTGATTTCTTACTATTGAGTTGAGTGTGTTTTAAATATATTTTCAGAAATTTCCTTCTTATATAACTGAATGAACCCTTATTATTTAATTTCTGCTTAAAATGTAAGCATATTAAAGTTTTTTATATTTTACTGTGCAAGTATATTATATTCTGCACAGAAAACCAATGAAAAGTAGCTAATTATACTTTTCAAGTTTAAAATGCTTCAGTGATACAAATAATAATTGTAGTAAGAAATCATTCCTGACCATACCTAGGAATCTTATTTTCAAAGAAAGCCCTATAAAATACTGTAATTACAAATTCTAGAATTCAAAAAGATGTCTGTAGGCCTACTACATGTATCCTAATATTTGTTATTACCATTCCTAAGTTTCCTTATTTTTGTTTAAGTTAGTAATAATCTTCCTAGTAGTATTAAAACAGTCTATGAGTAGATTGTCCAAATTAAATGATAAAATATTTGAATATGAATTTTGAATGTACTTGTATTTTTTAATTTAAAACCATCTTTTTTTTCCCTCCCAGGCACTTTGCTTAATGGCATTACCATTTATTCCTGCATCAAATCTTTTTTTTCCAGTTGGATTTGTTGTTGCTGAGCGAGTACTATATGTTCCTAGTATGGGATTCTGTATTTTGGTAGCCCATGGATGGAAGAAAATATCAAACAAAAGGTGAATTAAAATGTTAGTCCATTTAATGCTTACTACCTATAAAATTGAGCATGATATTTTAAGTATTTTAAGTTTGTATTTAGTTCAATTTTACAAGTCATACTTATATTTTTTTATCTTTATAATTTCCTCATTTGTCTATAATTCAAGCTCAAAAGCTCCACAACACCTACTCATCCAATCTTTTTACTCATATAATTTTATTTTACAGCCTGAGATAACAAGTTTGTTGTATCTTTGACATATCTGCTCATTTCTGTTCAGATTTTTCTTGCTCTACATGCTCTTGATATTTTTATTTCTTAGAAATTTACTAATACTCACTTTTCTCACATGGCATATGCTTAATAAATGTTTTCATCCATGTCTTCAATTTTCACTGCTATCTACCAAACCTTCTATCTTAGTTTCTTTCCAGTATATCCAGTTGTAATCAGTTTTTTAGTCTTTACCATGTGCCAAGGATTAGGATAGACTTTTTAGATTTGTTTTCTCATTTGGTCCTCAGAGTCAACTCTCTTGCAGAAGGAAAAATTAAAACTCATACAAGGTACCTTAATTACCCAAGAACACACAACTAGTAAATAGTGATCTTGATTCAAATTTACATCTGACTACTTATAGTGACCATTTTTTTTGTTGATCCATGCTCACTTAAAAGTGAGGAATTATGTCTCAAACAATTATTTTTAAAAAGTTAATTTTCTAAGACTTTTTTTTTTTTTTGGGGGGGGGAGAGGTTTTTGCTTTAGGGCACGTGTGCTTGCCAGAAGGAAAGAGGGAAAAAGAGAGACAGAAAACAAGAAATCATTCCCCAGGGGAGATGGCCATGCCACAATCTTTTCTCCTCCATTCTCCTCTTGGGATCTTGGACATGCACGCATACGCGCCCAGCATGAGTTTAAGCCACCAGGTCTGGGACTCAAACCATGGTTGACTATGTGGGAGTCAAGCAACATAGCCATTATGCCAACTGCTGGTCCCTCCTATGCCTTTTTTTTTTTTCTGCTATAGGGCGGGTGGGCTCGCCAGACAGCCAGAGAGAGACATAGAGACAGAAAGTAAGAAATCACCCCCCAGGGGGGATGGTCACACTGCAGTCCCTTCTCCTCCATTCTCCTCTCAGGATCTTGGGCACGCATGCACGCGCCTGGCGTGAGTTTTAAGCCACCGAGTCCGGGACACGAACCGCGGTCGACTACGTGGGAGTCCAGCGACATAGCCATTACGCTAACTGCTGGTTCCCCCTCCTATGCCTTTTAATAGACCATTCTAGCTTTGAAGAATAAAATTATTCCAAGAATGTTATGAAAATCTATAATATAAATTGTAAGCTATACTATATTTTAATATAGCCAGGGATAAGAATGATCCTTTATAAAGTCAGTTAAGACTATTCAAGTTTAAGTCACTTAAATATAAAAAGTCATAATGATACGATTTTATCACATTTTTTGTCATTTGATCTAAATAAAGCTTTTGACATGGAAACAATTATTAGACTATATAATTTAAGACTGAATTATTAAGGTCCTGCTTATACTATATATTTTTTTGGTATTGTCTATCTGAAGTTGAGTGATCATTAAAGTTAGAATGAATTAGAATAAATTCAGTCATGATAGTGGGAATATTGAGCATTTGTTACCTCTTTTCTAAACAGTAATATACTTTTGGTGTTACAGACAATTTTTTTTTCTCTTTGCTTTTTTCTCTTAAATAGTGTATTAAAAAAGCTGTCCTGGGTTTGTCTATCTATGGTGATACTCACTCATGCCTTAAAAACGCTCCATAGAAATTGGGACTGGGAATCCGAGTATACACTGTTTATGTCAGCCTTGAAGGTAAAGTATGGCAGGAAAGTATGTCATCAGTGATTTCTTACAGTCATTAATAAACTGTTTTAACTTAACTTTTAATTAGAAATTTAATTGTCAATATTAAGTACCTCACCAAAAGATTAATGAAAATAATTGTACTTATATGTCATAACCAAATGGTCTGAATACTACTTAGCTATATTTTCAAAGCATATATGAAAAATTCCCTGATTGTTTTATTGTTGTTGAGACTCAAATGATGAAATATTTAAATCAGTTTTTATTGGTTTTTAAGATATGCTTTTTAAAAACTTTTTAATATCTTTGGAATTAGAATAAATCTGAAAAGCATCATACAACTAATTAGTGACCTTTTTTACTTCTTATTGTTAAAATAATGATGAGACTTATAATTGATAAAATATACAATAGACAATGACACTCTACTTTCAAATAACCAATGGTTACATTACTCTAGGAAAAATTGGAACTGGTTGAAAGGAGTGGTACTTCATTTCTGAAGAGTGGGCAGCATGAGTTGGAAAAAGGTTCTTAAAAAACACAAAATTTTTATAAAGGCTGTCAGCAAAGATTATTTCCAGACTTACCCATACCAGATTCTTCAGATATCTAAATTCTTACTTCCTTTTGCCTATGTACTCTCCATTGCATAGTGTATTGGGTTGCTGCTTCATTCCAGTAGTCAGTATGACTTCTTTCTTTGGCACCTGCTTATGACTGGATGGTTCTCTTTTGTATCACTCCATAACTGCACTCTCTCTCTCCCAGCTCAGAAGTCTCTGAAAAAGTGAGACATCATTACCATGCTTATTAATCTACACTCCTGGATACCAGTGGAGCCCCATCATTTTTAGAAATTTTGTTTTCCCTTGCTCCCAGCACAGTAGTTGAAACCTACAGCCCTAGCTATTATAGTTCCTTGACTAGGTATCATCTCCTACCTGCAAGAATGCCTTTGTGAACTCTGAAAGAACTTATTGACTCAGAATTGTACTCTCGGGGCTCCCATTACCTTAGTATACTACATAAATAGTTTAAGTATGTCAAGCTTACAAATGAGTTGTTAGTGTAACATTTAAACATTCTCTTGTTCTGGTACTTTTTCTCTCAAAAGAATACAAGTAGTAGAACAGGTTTTCAAACAGCATTATGCCTAGATCAAGTACAATTTTTAGTGAAGTTCTAACATATAAAATGGGTGAAAGCAGACTACTGTGGTTTTAGTATATTGATGTTGAGGGAAAAGAGTGAATTGTGAAGTAGTTTCCATTTAATTCCTTCCTTATTCCAGGAGTATCTTCATGGAACATTTCATTTCTAATAATGACACCAGACAAATATTTGTATGAACTAGAATCTTACTTTTTTTTTTATTATAACTTACATCTGTCTACACTTTTATTTAAGGTAAATAAAAATAATGCTAAATTATGGAATAATGTGGGTCATGCCTTGGAAAATGAAAAGAATTTTGAGAGAGCTTTGAAATACTTCTTACAGGCTACCCATGTTCAGCCAGGTAAGCACTATCAATAAATTGATCAATAGTTTACTTTTTTAAAAATAATGACTATATTTGGAAAAATTAAGATAGAGGTTGTTTTCAAGCTTTATTCCAGGTGACTTGAGTTCTGTTGACTTTATGCTGACTTATTTTTAATTGGATTGAGTCATTTATATGAGATGTTTAAGGAATATTCTTTAAATCATGAGTTTTTAAATGGTACAGATGAACACTATTGGAGTGAGTTTAATAGAATGGGGGAGGGTTAATAGAAGACAACTAGTACAGAAAGCTCTTAAAGAGTTTTGATAAGAAATGGGGTGGAGCTAAGTGTACTGTAAAGAGAGAGTGATAGATATATTGATTGAGTCATGACTCATTTTTGCATGGAAAACCATGTCGTGACTTTCCTAACAACCTAGTATATTGTTTTTGTTTTCATGATGGGAGAAATAAAGCATTCATGGTACTAATCCAAAAAAGTTGGGAAAAGTGCTAATGTAAGGTGAGGGGACAAGTTACTGGACCAATGTGCTGAATAGATGAGAGAGGATAGATGAGAATAGGATCTGGTACATAGGTTAAGGACTTCATTCAGCCATTGAACTGATAATGAACCTGGGGTAGTAAGGAAGACACAGTACATTGATGTGGATATAGATAAGTGAGTAGACATAATGGAAGAAGCTTCTGGAAGTTTTCTGTATGCTTCTTTTCTCAGTAAAGTAGAAGGCAAAATCAGTCTCTGTAGAGAATAAAAGGGAGGAAGTGTTGGAGATTGAAGAAATGGGAAGGGTATAAAGTAGTCATCTAAGACAGTATACTATATAAATTAATGTGTATGTCAATCGTCTGGAGATTATGCATCGTGGTAGGCTTAGAGTAGGGCTTGAGAACCCGCATTTATAAAAAGATCCCAGATAATACTTAATCCACAGATCATTCTTTGAGAAGCAAAGATCTAGGAATTAGGAAATAAAATTGCCATTCAGCTCTAACACCTAACTTGAGGTTAGTAATACATACTTAAATTAAACCAGTTGTTGTGGTTGCATTTTGTTTTCCTGCTATTTTTAAGCCACATTAATGATGATGTAGGCATGGAAAATTTGCTTAAACAGAATTTGCATCTTGTCAGGTACATATCAATGATAATGATGAGGTACAGAATCTACACTGGTTAAAAAAGAGGTGGAGAGAAGGTAAGTATTGGCAGAAAGGTGACAGGATCCGTGGATTATAGGTCTGAAGAATTGTTGCTGTCTGAGTAGCTCATATTTTTCAGTAGCAGTGTCACCAGTGTTTCAAGTGTGCAGAGCCATATTACAGGAATATGTACCAAATGTGTCTCCCGAACCTGTCGAATGCCATCATTACTTCACATTCAGAGTGACAAGCAATAAGTAACCCCTACTCATTTCCAGCATCATGGAGGGCTGTGTTTTGGCTGACATTGCCTCATTTTCCTGTTAGGTATGATTATGGCCACTAAACTAAGGTAGGAGGGAGGTGAAAAATCATCAGAAGGAAGAACATCAAGACCACTATGCTAGAAGATTAATCTGTGGGTTTTGAAATCACTGAAGATTTTTTTGGGGGGGGGGTTTGGGGGGGAAGAGATTTTTTCACTATAGGGCGCGTGCGCTCACCAGACAGAGAGAGACATAGAGGCAGAAAGCGAGAAATCACCCCCCAGGGGAGATGGTCACGCTGCAGTCCCTTCTCCTCCATTCTCCTCTCGGGATCTTGGGCACGCACTTACACGCGCCCGGCATGAGTTTTAAGCCACCAGGTCCCGGATGTGAACCGCGGTCGACTATGTGGGAGTCCAGCGACATAGCCATTAGGCTAACTGCTGGTTCCCAGAAATCACTGAAGGTTTTGATCAGTGTGATACTTGGAAAGAGAACAGGGCGCCAGGATCTGTGATCCAGAAATTAGTGACTGCAAGAAGAATTCAGTGACCTGAGATTCAGAGATCAGTGATTTTTAAAAGGAGTAAGGATTGTCTGCAAGTGGTATCAGGAATCAAGGAGAGCACCTATTCTTCCCTCCAGGCCTGTTGTTGCGAAAGAACACAGTCACCACTTGGAAGAGCTACAGATTAACCATTTCTCCAAGATAAAGCCATTTTAGTTAGAGAAAGATGAGAAGGTCTTAGCAATGTAACTGATGGTCTAGCCTTCCAATTTTATCTCCCATTGCCCTTAATATAGTTTTCAGATTTTTTTTGGAATAGAGGGTACAGGTCCTATGCTTCCTCACTTCTTTGCCTGTGCTTATATTCTTCCTTGAGCCTAGAATTTCTTTCTTTTTCTCTCCTTCTCCTCGACTTTCTACCGTATGCTACTTTATTTTTACAATCCATCTCACATCACTTCTCTTCCATAAACAGCTAGATGCAAGTTTTCTTATTTGTAAAACCCCTCCAACTTCTGCTGTATCTTTCCTGTGATATCTGTAATTTTCTATTTAAGGCTAGACTGTGTTCACTTAAATGTCCACTTGTTAAATATATTTATTTATTTAAATCGTGACACTCCTGGAGACAGCTTCAGTGTCTGATTCATCTTTGTATCTTTGCATCATTAATAGAGTCCTGTACACAGTTAACAGTCACTATATGTGGTAGTTTTAATTCATTACTTTCTAAAATCTTTTAGATTGAGAGTTCGTAGAGAAGCAGAGTCATCTTTGATGACAGACTGAAAACAAAGACTTTGAGATTTAGATGTTATGTAGGCCCCTTCAACCTCAATCTTCTAAGTTGGGTTAGTGATTTCTACCTTGTAACATAATTGTAAAAACTAAATTAAATGCATGCTTAGGTATATGTACACGTTCAGTTTTATGAATAGTGTTTTTATCCAGGATATTTCAGGAAAGCACTAAATTTTAAAATCATTTTTCTTCTTATTGTCCATTGTCACTTATTGCTGTTCTTAAGGTATTTGCTGACCCTATCTCCTTCAATATGACTTTACTAACACAGTTTCAAAATTGCTGCTTCCCTAATCCTTGGGCTAAGTAAAAGGCAAACAAGTTTAATAAAATTTATTGTGAAGAAAGCGCATGAACTTAGAAACATTGAATTTGGTATTCAGAGACTTCTTGGCTTATCTTGCCTTTCATTTATTTTAGTTGTGTTTTTATTTCCTTTGGCTATAGTTTTAAAGTTTGTTTATGTATATCTCCTCCATGAGAGAGGAAGAGATAGACACCTGCAATGGATTCTTCATACTGCCTTCAATCTCCAGTTTCAGCCAAACCAGATCATGGGCATATCATGAAAATATACCAGGCAGTGGGAACCAGCAGTTAGCGTAATGGCTATGTCGCTGGACTCCCACGTAGTCGACCGCGGTTCGTGTCCCGGACCCGGTGGCTTAAAACTCACGCCGGGCGCGTGTGCGTGCGTGCCCAAGATCCCAAGAGGAGAATGGAGGAGAAGGGATTGCGGCGTGACCATCCCCCCTGGGGGGTGATTTCTCGCTTTCTGTCTCTATGTCTCTCTCTGTCTGTCTGGTGAGCGCACGCGCCCTACAGTGAAAATCTCTCAAAAAAAAAAAAAAAAAAAGAATATACCAGGCAGGTACAAAGAGGCCATGGAATGAGAACCCACCCTTTCTGTGTAGGCCCAGCATCACCACTGCACCATTGTACCCCAGTGTTTGTTTTTTGGCTGTATTCTTTGTAGATGTTTTGACAGATGAAATGACTTCTTGCTTTAGTGGACTATTAGGGGCCAGATATTAGAGAGAGAGATGGAAAGTGACCTGGATAGGGTTAAAAAGGGACAAATAGTGTGGTAGTTAGTTAAAAGTTCAGACTCTGTCATCTGAACTTTCATCAAAAAATTCAGTTTAATCACCCTAAGTATTCTATCCATGGATTAGGAATATTGTCCATATCCTCATTCTATTGTATGAATTGAATACTGGTTATAAAAGGGTTAGGCCAATTTCTGGCCCATAGTATATATTCTATCAGTGTGAGCTGATAGATATTAATGGCGTTATTTTTGCTGCAGCTGGGAAAAAGAAGGCAAATATTGGGTTGTCAGAAAACTCATGACTTATTTATCTGTTTTTCTGTGCAAAAATGCATCATGACTTCCAATGACTCAGTAAGTAATGTAGATTGTAGGAAGGAAGGATGAAAAGAAAATTAATAGCAGATAGACCTGTAGGTTAATTTATTCATTGAGCATATACTTGAAAATTCATTATGTATCAGATAGTTTTCAGTGCTAGGGATCCTGCAGTGAATAAAGCAGATTCCTGCCTTCATGGAGCTCCCATTCTAAATAATGACAGAGATGGTAAGTAAACAAGTATACACACAAACACACACACACACACACACACGCCAGTTGATTGGATACAGATTATGAAAGAAAGCAAGACATAATTACTCCTAGATTTGTGTCCTGAAAAATTGGATAAATGACAGTGCTATTTATATTTTATGTTGCTTGGTGATTGGATAGCAGGGGAGAGGAATCACTAAGAATTTTGTGCCTGTTAAATGTGTATCGTATGTGCATCCATAGACAGGATGACTAAGATCACATGTGAGCCAGTGATGTGTGTAATAATTACTATTTCAAAGGAGTGATGAGTGTTAACTGAATTTCCAGTTACCTGAAAAAAATGAAATGTGATATCAAAAAAATTTTTTTTTTTTAATGACAAGTCAAGGTACTGGTGCAATGTGATATGAAAAATTTTTTTTTTTTTTTAATGACAAGTCAAGGTACTGCTAGTATTAGTGGGATTTTGGTGACTTTGTTTCTAACTGAAGGAAATTTTCATTTTTTAGTAGAGGTTAGTGAAAATTAAAATGCAGTGTTTTCCTATTCAGGTTTGCCTATGTCCTGAATTCTGTCCATGAATCACTAGAAATGAGGAAGTAAAAACAGAGTTACATAAACAACTCTTTCAAAGAAATATGCTGTACATAGAATAGCAGTAGGAAGATGTGTTGCAGGATAATCACGTGAGCAGTCCTTAAGTGGGAAAGGATGATGATGTGATCTAGTGCTTAAGTCGATTATCGGACTTAGATCAGGTAGGAGGTATAGGAGGCAAAGCAGAGCATATGCATGTGCACACAGATGTGTGTTAATATTTTAAGCACACATACATATTAACACAGGTAAGTTAGTAGTTTTGGGAATGAGCTAAAAAGAAAACTCCCTTTTGATCTTGTTTCCTTGGTAAAGATTTGAGAAGAGAGAAGGAATTAAATATTCGTGTTTTAGGGAAGTGGTCTGATTAGAGAAACATCTTATTAATACACTGGATGCACATTTGAGATTTGTGAGTTCATCATTTACATTGAATTTAAGGCCTACTGCTTGACTTACACTACTATTAACTTGGGAAGTTCACACTTATTCTTTGAAATCCTCCTTAGTTCCTTAATATCACCAATTTTTTGCATCTTGCCTTCATTTCTTACCTTTTTTTAAAAAAATTTTCCTTTGGAACAATACTACATCCTCTTCTAGACTCTTAAAACATTGTAATTTATAAAGAACTGCTTAGAAATTATGTCTTTCATTTTATTAGCTATATTGAGTAACCCTTTTAAAGCTAAAGGATATTTAACTACTGTTCTTATTCTTTGAGAAAATAGGGCTGCTTTTTACTTTAGTGTCCAAAATCTGCACTTACGACAGTGTCTCCTTGCCATAATTCCAAGAACCTAATTCCAGTGGGTAGTAATTTGCTTCATCTTTCATCTCAGTAAATAAAACACCTTCTGATCTCTATAATAAATGGTATGGATTTATCTGAGGTTAAAAAAAAATCAGCTATGTAAAAGCAAATGATAACCTACTCTGTATTTTATATGCATTTGGTAATACAATGATTTTCAACCCTGGCTTTACATCAGAATTGCCTTTGAAACTTTTTAAAAACAATTTTTACAGATCTCCTTCTTGAAGATTCTGTCTTGATAGAGCTGGATAAGGCTAAGGTGTCTGAATTTTCAAAACTTACATAGGTCTTTGGATTTGCAGCCAGTATTGGGAATGGCCAGCCTAACCATTTTTTGGCTTGGCCCACTCCATGAGAGATTCAGTAATGCATCTAAAAAGAAAAATATCAATTCCTTTTCCCTGCTTTGTCCACCAGTTCTTTAACCATACCTGTACTGCCTCTGCCAGCCTTTGTGCAGTACACAGTTGCCAGCCTGAAACATAATGTAGCAAGATCTTAGGACTGTTACTCTCCTCCTAGGGGAATGGCCAAGATATATATTCTTGGCCCCTATGTATCCTGGGAGTTGCAGGCAGAGAACTATTCCTCAGTTGCAAAATCATCGATGTCACAGGCAAGTAGTAATTATCATTTGAAACCTTGTCATGTCTATTAGAAATTCATGTTAAGTAAATATTGTCAGATTTAAAACCTCCTTCCATCTTTATTCTAAACCTTTGATATATTTACTGGGAAATGTAACTTTTTCAAAAACTAGTGTGCAATGAGTTCTCATATCTTTCTTACGTAAACTTCATTTTTTAAAACCCTTGGATAAATCTGCTGGGAATTTATTTTCCGCATAGAAGTATGAGTTTTTTTAAGTTCCTGATAATTCTGATGTTAGCACAGCACTTTAAAAAGTTTTAGATAAATTATATAGGTATCATCAGTTAAAAGAGATAAGTTACAGCAACTTACTGGAGGCATACGTGAGTTAGCCATTGTTTTAAGTATTACAGAGTAAGCCACTGCTTCTTAAGTAATAGTATTAAATCCAGATATTTCATTGTATTCTCATCCAGCCACATTGACAAAAATGTTTTAAACTTAAATCATAAAGAATGTTCGGTCTCTTTACCCTGTCCCATTATGGTGCATATTTGTTAGTAATAACACTTGAAATCTGGGGATCATGATGTTCCTCTTAACTTACAATGTTGAGCTACTCTTTCTGAGTGAATTTCAAAGGTGTGAGATTAAAGAGATGGAAATAAGTCTTAATATAGTGCAGTATATAAACTACAGTAGAGAGGTGATTTAAGTTTATCATTAATTTTGTTTTTCTTTCATGTCTTAACTCTGCAAAGACTCATTCAGATAGTTTTTCATGTCATCTGTGATTTCTGTACTTACGGTGCTTTAAGTAATTTTGTGGTGTACCATTGGTCATAAATGATGCCAAGTCATGTTAAAAGAACTTTAAAAAGTAAGCAGGACCTGTTGTGTGCTTTTGCATTTTTTGCCTATTGTGTTTGTTTCTAGAAGCATGTTTTCTTGGTAGTTTACAATGAATATGGTTTAGTATATTCACCAACAACTTTTTTTTTTTAATTTTAGATGATATTGGTGCCCACATGAATGTAGGAAGAACTTATAAAAATTTAAATAGAACCAAAGAAGCTGAGGAATCTTATATGATGGCTAAATCACTGATGCCTCAGGTAAGTTGTGATTCTGCTTTTGACCAACTGTATGTTATCAGTAAAGATAGTTTAACCTAAGTTGTAGTTTTCCCAATTATAGTATTGTTGGTAATGATAGTAATATTAATCCTGATAGGATAGTTTAATAAACTTTTAAGCAATAAACTTGGAATATATGATATCCTAAGAATTATTTAAATTCTAACATGCCACATTTAAATCATATTGCTTATAGGTTTTCATCAGATAAAATTTATTGTAGTCATTGAAAATATGAATGTATTAGTAATATATTTTATAATCAGTGTTCTATATCTGTGGATTCTACATCTGTGGATTGAATCAACCAGGGACATTTTTGGCAAAAAAAAAATAACAGTGCATAAAATAAATATAAAGTAATATGAATGAATTTTAAAAACAATGCACTATAACAACAATTTACATAGCATTTACATTGTGTTAGGTATTCTAAGTTATCTAGAGATGAGTTAAAGTATACAGGAGGTGGGGCCAGCAAGTAGTATGGTGGTTAAAGCTCTGGACTTCCATATGGGTGACCACAGTTCAAGTCCCTGACCTGCTTTCCTGCTTTTTTCTCTCTCTTTCTGGTATATGTACATGCCCTATAGCAAATTTTAAAATAATAATAGTAAAACTGAATGAATAATTCTTTTTAAAAAATAAAGTATACAGGAAAATTTGTGTAGGTTATATACAAACACTATGCAGTTTTATATAAGGGACTTGAACATCCAAATATTTTGGTATCCTGTGGGGTCCTGGAACTAATCCCCCATGGATAGCAAGGGATGACTGGTTATGACTCTGAAATATAATGAACTGCCATATGTTACAACCAGGAAATGTTTTGCTGAGAACACGAAAGTCGGCATAGTATACAAAATACTTGGGACTGAGAGAGGAGAGATCGGGATTCTGTTTCCATTCTGATGTAAACTTACTATGAGACTTTGACCTCTCAAAGGTCTGACTTCATTAAAAGATGGATAATAGAGGCCACCAAGTGGCATAGTGGTCACAGCACTGGACTTCGACATGCCAGCTGATTCAAGTCCTAGACCCAGCAGCTTGAAAATTATATCAGGCTCTTGTGTGTGCGTGCCCAAAATCCCAGGAAGAGAATGAAGAAGGGATTGCAGCATGGCCATCCCCCCAGGGGGCTGATTTCTCACTTTCCCTCACACTGTCTCTCTTTGTTTCTCACTGGTGAGCCCTCATGCCGTATGGCAAAAACATAATATATATGTGTGTGTGTGTGTGTGTGTATATATATTTATATATAGATAGATAGATAGATAGATATAGATATAGATATCACTGAACTCCATACTTACTTGTTAAAAATATTTGTCAGGGCAGGGGCCAGCAGGTGGCTTGATGATTAAAGGCACTGAACTCCCATGTGGCTGACCACGGTTCAAGTCCTAGACCTGGTGGCTTACTTTCTCGTTTTCTCTCTCTCTTGCCCTCTCTCTCTTTTTCTCACCCTCTCTCTGTGTCTTACTATGGTCAATTTAAAAACAACGATAATGATAAAAGGAAATGATTTTTTAAAAATAAAAATTTGTCAGAGCATTTGTACTCATCAGGGAGAGACAGAGAGGGAGAAAACATCCCTCTATGGAGCATAGTCACGCTGTTTCTCCATCCTCCATCAGAATTTTGAGCATAGATGCACACATGCCTGGCATGTTTTCCATACACCATGATTTGTACTGTATAGTTGGCCATGCAGGATCTAGCTCCCTTAACCTCCAGGGCCACAGGATTATTTACTTCTGAGTTTTATTTGGTTCTGAAATATCAAATTATAAAAATGCCTTTTCTTCAAAACAGATTATTCCTGGCAAAAAATATGCAGCAAGAATTGCCCCTAACCATCTAAATGTTTATATCAATCTGGCCAACCTGATACGAGCAAATGAATCCCGGCTGGAAGAAGCAGATCAACTGTACCGACAAGCAATAAGCATGAGGCCTGACTTCAAGCAGGCTTACATTAGCAGGTATCAGGATGCACCTTAGCACTGTCATAGTAGAAGATTGAATATGCATCTTCACATACATTTTGACAAAATTGGCATGCTTTTCTTTTAATAATCTTCATTCACAGCCAAGTACATAGATTTAGACTGACAATCGAGTTCAATTGATTTGAAATTGACAAGGGAATCCTCTTACTGACAACTTAAGTTTTATATAAAAGGGTAAAAGAAGGTCCTGCTTAGCTTCATTTTTTTTATTACCAAAATAGTTTTTTTCTACTTAATATACATGAAACTTCTTGTAATAGTTACTTCTCATATCCAACTCTCAAGATCTTTTTTTAATAAATTTTGAAAATTGACTGATTACTGAAACCTTTTCCAGAAAGAAAACTTCTTGGTTGTTGGGAAGTGGTTTTGGCATCACATATTAAAACTTGATATGCTTTCTCTCGTGTTATCATTTATATTATATTTGAGGAAAACTGTATATTATGCTGGGGAACCTAGCCATGATTTGTAACATTATTTCTATGGAAAAGATGCATTCAAACTTTTTGCGATAGATTCTGTTCTTAAGTTGGAGATTGTCTTTGGCCTTTTTCTGTACTTGTTAGAATCCACTAAGTTTAGCAAGAATGTATCTATAAATAAGAATTTTTATGTGTTAATCCAGTAATCTTTGCATAAAAAATAACATGGACAAATGCTAATTTTTATTTTTTAGAAGTTGTTTTAATAAGAGTATTTTTTTTATTTCTATGCTGACAATAGTAACTCTCACTATATCACTACTTAAATGTGATTTGCACATATGTAAAAATATTTTTAAGCAAAATGACTTTTTTTTTTTCGTCTAATTTGAAATAGAACCACACTGACAAGGTTTATAACAGCAGTTTTCAAACTGATCCTTAATTCTGGATGTGTTCCTCAAAGCTGTCTGCAGGTGGCACTGGTACCCTCCCACCCTTTCCCATCAGCTTTTTTCATTCCTTTTGTGGCAAATGGTCATTTTATATGCACTGAAGAAGACTATTTTAATATAAGAAGGGGTTACAAACATTAAATGCTTTGCATTTTTGCAAAATGAAGCATCTGTAACTTTGATTTGAAGACTTGAAATTCCCCATTACAACTGTATCTATTTTTCTTCTGCAAATGTGATACGTATTACTTAACAAATTCACTGATTTCCCACTATGGTTAGCTGTTACTTCTGTCGCAGTCTACTCTGTCTCATTTTAGGACATACTCAAGCAATGTATTTTTCCTCCTTTTTCTTAGATACCTCCCTATATACTACCCCCTAAAGTGAGGTATTTTTTTTTATAATATTTAATATATCAATATAAATTTGCTAACCATGGAGGTCAGGTATGGAACAGTTATTTTTGAAAGAAAACTTTTAAGAACCTAAATTTTAAAAGAGAAAAAAGGAAGGCTATGTGGAAAGGCTTGAAACTTGTCAAAAATGTCATCTACAAACTAACATTGTAACATAAAACTTATGTTTGATTTTTCCACAGAGGAGAATTGCTTTTAAAAATGAATAAACCTCTTAAAGCAAAGGAAGCGTATCTTAAAGCACTAGAGCTGGACAGAAACAATGCAGATCTTTGGTATAATTTGGCGATTGTACATATTGAACTTAAAGAACCAAATGAAGCCCTGAAAAACTTTAATCATGCTTTAGAACTAAATCCAAAACACAAGTTAGCATTATTCAATTCTGCTATACTAATGCAAGAATCAGGTATGTTTTCTCAAATATTTTTTAGATTTAAGCAAATTATAATTTGGAATGTAGTAAAATGTTACTTAAACTGTATTACCTAGAGCATACTTTTTTATCTGTGTGATATCTCACTTTTTTTTATTCTCTTAGTTTTTTTGTTTTTTGTTTCATCACTAGAGGTTACATGTGCTTGCCAAAGAGAGAGAAAAAAAAAAAAAAAAAACCCTAATGGGGTATGTCTATGCTGCAGTCCCCCTTTCTCTATTTCTACATCCTTTCTGGACTCCAAGCATGCACACACATGTACCTACATGTTTTTCAAGCGTTTGGGGTCAGAATTTGAACTGTGGTCACCCATGTAGGATCTGGCTGTCTTTGCACAGGGCTTAACCACCTCACTATGGTGCCAGCCCCATGGCAACTAGTTTATGAATGAATAGTTTATAAAAAAAATCTATAAATGATGGCAAGAATTTTAAAACACTCTAAGTAAACTATGTTCAAATAACATGCACTAATATATATAATGTAATTTATATTTCTTACAGTATATGTTAATATTTCTTCAGGGAACCTATTAAGTGTACCTAGTTATTCTATCATTTTATGCTTACAAATGTCATATAACCTCTTTTTATACATATATGAATATTTCGTTCATATACTCTAAATTTACTTTTTTTTTTTCTTTTTTTGGAGAGATTTTTGCTGTAGGGCACGTGTGCTTACCAGAAAGACAGAGAGAGACAGAAAGCGAGAAATCACCTCCTGGGGGGATGGCCACGCCACAATCCCTCTCCTCCATTTTCCTCTCGGGATCTTGGGCACACACGCACACACACCCAGAGTGAGTTTTAAGCCACCAGGTCCAGGGCTTGACATACGGTGGACTACATGGAAGTCCAGCAACATAACCATTATGCTAACTGCTGGTCCCTAAATTTACTTTTTGTACATAATTAGGTCAAGGGAGTGTGTGTGTGTGTGTGTGTGTATGTGTGTGTGTAATTTTTTTTTTTTTTTTTTTCAGATTTTTGCCATAGGGATTTTTAGATTTTTGACACAGTGAGAGAAAAAGTGAGAAATCCCCCAGGGGACTGGCTATGCTGAAATTCCTTCTTCTCTGTTTTCCTCCTGGTACTTTGCATGAACACTCACCTTATATGATTTTCAAACACTCCTCGTCAGGGACTCAAACTGCAATTAGCCAACTGAGATTCTGGTGTCTCTGATGTGGAACCCCCACACCACCTGCTGACCAGAACAGTGTGTATTTTTTTTAAACTGTAATCTATTTCCATAATTTATAAAATCATATAATTTTGGCATTTTTTAATTCCAGCTTTACAGAGTCTTGAGGTATTCCATGGGGTTGTTGGGAAAGTCACAATGCATTTTTGCATAGGAAAATATGTTATGATTTTCCTGACAGCCTAGTAATTTTTTATATTTCCTATAGTTTAGCAAAACTAAATTATTACAGGAAATCTCAATTTTTCATTTATATTTTATATAGAAATTTTAGTTCTCCCTCCAAGGCAGTACAGATGATTTATAATCTTAATTTTTATGTTGGGAAAATACCTTTACAATTTTTAGTGATTTCATATATACATTTATTAAATTGTTGCAAAAAATGGAAAGAATCATAAAATCATTTATTTTAAAACTAAAGGAGACCTCTGAGCTTACTTCTGCCATTCTTCTATTTAGTAGAACAGAGTACAGACCATGTGACTTCATCTAATGACTACCCAACTTCACATGGCTTCTTTAGTAGCTAGCCCAAGATAAGAACTGAAGCCTACTGATTTATTTTCAAATTTTATCAAGTTGTCAAATACAGGAAGATCTTTATGGCTGGTATTTTTAAAATTATAAATTTAGAGATATGTTTTTGTTACATTATCTAACCTCAGTCATCATGAAGGATATTCATTTTTCAACACAAGATTGTACCTTGTTTATAGTTATAGAACTTGAAAAGTTTTACTTCTTTGTAATAGAAATTATCTTAATACTTGTTTCCTGGGTCCTATTTTGATAGCTTTGTATTTGATGGGATCTTTTCTCTTGAAACTTTCTTAAAAAAAAATTGAGTTAACATACTTTCTTAGTCTTTTTATACCATTGCTAACAGATACTCATGAGACTGGGTGTTTTATAAAGAAATAAGGGTCTATTAACTCACAGTCCTGGCAGCTATAAAGTCCAAAAGGTTAAATCTGGCATCAGGTCAGCCCACAACATGGCCGTGGAAGCACGAAGGATGGGTAGGCATGTGAACATAAGGAAATCTGAAGATAGTTCTCTCTCTCTCTCAAATAGCAACCAGCTCTCACAAGGGCTAATTCTGCTGAGTCCTGCGATACCATTAACCTGTTCATGAGAATATATCTATGATGCATTCATCATGATTCAGTCACAGTGCACTTGACCTCACCACCTTTCCAATATCAAAGTCCAAAACATGAAACTTTAGGGGACAAACTATCTTCCAAACCATAAACCATGTAAAAAAAAAATTTCATTTAGTAATTCTGAAAGATTTTTTTTTAATCTAGTAATAGTTACTCTTTGCTCAGCATTTTCATATATATGTGTATATATATGAGAGGGGTCTTCAGAAAGTTCATGGAAAATCCATGCTATGAAAGAAACTAAACATGGATTTTAAAATATTTACACCAAAATAAAATTGTACTTTAATTCTGGAAACGTTTTTAAGTTATGTAATTCTTAGAAAATTCACTGAGTAATCTAGAAAATTCAAGTAATATGTTCAGTATATAAAGTTGTTATATTAATAGAATCAAGATTATATACATGTCTTTGTTGGCAAATCCCATGCCTCTTCCTCTTAATTCTCTGTTTCTTCTATTGCCAGTTAGATTTTAAACTGTAAGGAGATATTTCTCCCCTTTTGGTTTCTGAAACTCTCTTATTACTTTAATCAAGGAAAGGAGATAGACTATATATAGTTCAGCATTTCACACACATCATCTTCTATGAAGACTTTAGAGTTTTTACTTTCTGATTTTTTACTTAGGTACAGAAATTAGTTGTTGTAATTCTGTCTTTTTGTAATCTAACTAAATACTTGAAAGTGGTTTTATTCCTCAGACTTAATTCATTTACTAACAATACGAAATTTTCTTATTTTAAATAAATGATTCTTAGGTGAGGTTAAACTCAGACCTGAAGCCAGAAAAAGACTTCTAAGCTACATAAATGAAGAGCCACAAGACGCTAATGGCTATTTCAATTTGGGAATGCTTGCCATGGATGACAAAAAGGACACTGAAGCAGAAATTTGGATGAAGAAAGCCATAAAATTACAAGCTGACTTCAGAAGTGCTTTGTTCAATCTAGCTCTCTTGTATTCTCAGACTGCAAAGGAATTAAAAGCTTTGCCAATTTTGGAAGAGTTACTCAGATACTACCCTGATCATATCAAGGGTCTCATTTTAAAAGGAGACATTCTGATGAATCAAAAAAAAGATATACTTGGCGCAAAAAAATGTTTTGAAAAGATTTTGGAGATGGATCCAAGCAATGTGCAAGGCAAACACAATCTCTGTGTTGTTTATTTCGAAGAGAAGGACTTACTAAAAGCTGAAAGATGCCTGGTGGAAACACTGGCATTAGCACCACATGAAGAATATATTCATCGCCATTTGAGTATAGTCAGGGATAAAATTTCCTCAGCTACTTTTATAGAACAGCCAATATTCCCAGGTGGTAAGACTTCAGGTGTAGAAGGAAACAAAATTCCAGCTGAAAATGTAAAGGAAATCAGAAGTCAATCCAGACCAACACAGATAATAAGTGATAATAAAAGTCAGTCTAAATCCAACAAACAATTAGGAGAAAATACAGACAAAGAAACACCCCACAAAACAACTAAAGACATCAAAGAAATTGAGAAGAAAAGAGTTGCTGCTTTAAAAAGACTAGAAGAGATTGAACGTATTTTAAATGGTGAATAGTATTATTCTTTATCATGTGACAGCAGTATCAAACAACTTCAAACTATATCATGTGATTGTACTGGGAGCTTTGAAAAATATCAAGGATATAGAACAGTCTATAATGAGCCGCCTATACATAAGAGCAAAATAAGATTTTCATTAAAGACCTGTTTTACCCCAGATATGAAAGAGCTTCAGGAAGTACATGGAAAAAGGAATTAAAAGTGAGTTTATTTTTGTGAAAAAAATTTTAAATCCATGCAGTTTTTTTCATAATATACTTTTATCAATTAATTTTTGAAGACAACCCCCCCCCCATATAAGATATGGCAGTAGTTTTTAAGAGTTTTGGTGAATATAGCAGAATTACTAAATTACTGTTGACAAATTTACAACTTGTATTATAGAAGAAAGGTTGTTCTGGTAGAATAATTTGAGGCCTGAATGATAATCTTTATGGGCAGCTCCAGCATGTGTTGGTTTATTCTGTGGATCACCATTTATCAGCCTACTTAGTTTTTCTTTTCCCTCTTGGAATCTGGTTATGGATTAAAAACACTCATTGAACACACTATTTTTTCTTCAGTTAATTCTTCTTTTTAACCAGGGGATTTTGCACTACAAAAGACTTTTGGGCTTTTATGTTGTATTCTTTGGTTGATTTTGAGAAGGAATGCTGGATGAAACATTTTAAAGTAAGTTATATAACATGTTAGCTTAAGAATGTATTTTCATAATTGCATACTTGTCCTTCACTAAAATGCAGTTTTTAAGCAGGCATAGTTTTACATACATACACATATTTATATATATGCATATGGATTTTCTAATGGTGCTCATATATACTGTATTTTTTTTAACATATTGAAAGTGTCATAGCATGAGTCACATATCATGACTATTTTTTTACTTTTACTCTCCAAACTGTTCGTGTTTCTTAGGGTCATAGCCATGTTGAGAAGTCCCAGTAACTCTTACTTTAAACTTTTGAATTATAACAGAGCAGATTTCTCTTTTGTCTTAGTGTTAGCTCTCTGGTCTTATTTGAATTTTAATTTTCTGTTTCCAAAGTCACACCTCAATCATTCTTAAATACCTTATGCCACTAAGTTCAGTTCTGTTTAACTGAAGGCAAAACGATGTGACAAAGTTTATTTTTAAACACTAAACTCTTGATATCTTGTTATGATATATATATTTAGTAATACTTATTTTGACTACTGAGCTTTCATAAAATTTTCAAAGCTGTTTTAATCCCATCAAATATGGAAAACAAATTACTATTGTATTTTCCTATATGTGCATAATGTTTATTGCATCATTTTTAACCTATCTTCCAGCTATAAACAGTAATTAGCCTAATAGGATTAATAATTTTATCTTGGCAAATTTAAACCTAGAAAATATGTTAGCTTAAAAAGCAGATACAAATTAAACTTACTAATTTAAATCTTTTTTTCCTGACTTAAAACATTTCAAGTGAGTTTTATAATTCCTAAAAAAGTTGGTTTAATTTAAAATGTTAAAACTCAGTCTGTCATCTTGGGATAGTAACTAATATCTAATTATATAGTATTTCAAAACTTTCTTTCAGTTCCTTTGAGATAACTAATTTATAATTATGTGTTTTAAAAACCATATTCCTATAACACTTTTCGAGAAATGTTTTATAAATAGGTCACAAGAAACAAGGTCTGCATTAAAGCCTCACTCACAACTAGGTTCCCAGATGATCTGTCATAGATTTTTTTTTTTGGGGGGGGGGGGGGAATGCAAACACTGATACCAGTGGGAGTTAATTTCTGATTGAGGAGATTCTGTTAAGCACAAAAGCAATACCTAATTTCAGTTCTTAGATTATGGCTTTGTGACTCCAAATAAAAGATGGAGAATACCTCATATACTATTACTTGAAAAATGAAGTCTATACTATTCTTGTGTTTTTTTTTTTTCTGTGTCTTGAGATAAAGTTTATGAGTGTGATCTCTTAATATTATAGTATCAAGTGGAAGATAGTTCAAAAAAGTAGGAAGAAATCTTTCCTGACAATAGACCATAATAAAAGTTTGAATAGTGCTTTAATAAAGTTGTGTTAACTATTCAAATGGTAAAAGGAATATAATAATGTTATCCAGTGATTTTTTTATAGAAAAAAGAATTATCTTCATAGCACTTAGAACAGTGCCAGTCATGCAAGAAGTGCTTGTATAGTTGAATTTAAATAAGTTATTTAATATACCCTGAGTAATTAATGATTTAATAATTATTCTCAGTTAGTGGTTCTCAACCCTCACTTCATGTGAGAATCATGGGGGGAGGTTTAATATGGGCCCCACCCCATAACAGTTAAATCTGCATGTCTTAGAGGTGGAGCTATGTTTCAGTTTTTCTAAAAGCTCTCTGAGTGATTCTTATTTGTACTAGGATTAAGGACCACTGCTCTAAAATATAAAATAGATCAGGAAAATTTTTTCATCTCTCCTATGTTGACATTTTAAGTTAGTAATAAAACCCAATTAGGTTTTGGTTGTTTTAAGTTCCACTAAGGAGTATGTTCTTCTGACAGCTTGTATTTATTCTTCAAAACTTAAGATCTTGGAAGTTCCATCAGTTCTGATATGTAAGATTATTAATTCTCTTTAAACTCAAGATAGGAATTTTATTTAAACTATTCAGGTGAGAAATGGTGATAGATTCCCCTCCTCCCCACCCCTGGCTGCCTTTTTGAGCAGATGGGTATGAAAGCCCAGTTCACTAAACTGTGGTTCAGAGTTGCAAGCATCTGTTAAGTATGGAAAAGCAGTTCTTTTACATACAGGTTTTTGTTCTGATGAATGGAGGGAGTTTTAATTCTCACTGTTTTACAGGAGTCTCCTACCCAGGAGTTGGAGAAAAGCTTTGACAATCCCCAAGGGGCAATGTTATGTTACTTTACTGTTTCTCAGAGGTTAGAATTAAGTTTGTTGAATTGCTCCTGTGTTTACTTATTAACATTCAGAATTTAAAACTTTATCTTGTAATTATTATAGTGAATAGTTTTCTGAAGTTGACTTAAAGCGTAAAATAATTAAATATGTAGTTTTGTTTTCAATTTTATGTTTCCTTTAATGTAAATATTTAGTATATGAATTACACAATTCTAATAAAACCTTATGCCTTTTCATTACATCTATTTGAGCTCTCAACTTTGTTATAGAATAATGCTTCTTTAAGATGCTATAATGAAAATATTAAGAAAATGTATAGATTTGTATGTCAGTTTATACTGCAGAAATCCATATATTTGTCATTTTTTAGAAAAAAAACTTCTAATTGAATGACTAAATGGTATTTAAAATGAACCCTCCCCCCCCAAAAAAATCTGGTACCTTTGTCCAAAATTCGATCTATTGGAAGCTGTCATTAATCTATGTTATAAAGCATTCTTAAGAAATAATTGAGACTTCGATGCTTTTTATATTTCTGTGGTGTCTTTGTACCATATTTCTAAATATTCAGTATTAAATTGGTACTTTTAAAAACCTTAACCTGGCTTGCTTGTTAGTGTTAAAATGAAAAAAAAAAAAAATCTTGTATATAAAGAGATTTCTGCACCTGAAAGAACTGGCATATAATTTATTAGCAATGATCTGAGAAAAGCATTAAATTACTTCCTGAAAATGGTGTTTTCAACCATGAGTGGTAGAAGCCAGATTAAGAAAATGAAGCAGTTGAACCTGAAATGTATACAAGTTTAAGTTTTAGATTACCTGAGTTCAATTCCAATATCACCTCTAGTATAATTTAGGGAAAGTTGTTTGATCTGTGTATCTTCAGTTTCCTGTAAGTTGGGGAAAACACTTTGCTCTTAAAAAATTATTAAATTGATTTGTATTATGTTGGAATTACTCAGAACATTTCCTGGCACACATTAAATAGTAAATGTTATTAATATAAACACAAGACTTAAACTTTTTGCATTTGATACATATGGTTTGATTGACCAGTGTTGGTCATGGTAGCAAGCAAACAAGTAGAAATCAAATATTAATGCTTATTGTTTAGCTCAATTTTCCAGTAAGTACAGAGACTAAAATAAATTATATTTAAGGTTAAGTTAAAATGCACAAACAAGAAATAAAACTATGCTACTACCTTGCTTTTATACTGCTCACTGCCATCAGGGAGGTAGAATAAGATAAAATATTGAAGTCTCAGAAAGCTGAATCTCAGGCAAATTCATGTTCTTTGGAACTCATTCCCTTTATTGATAACATTTCTTTTAACTATGTCAATGGATACTATATTTCCCATTAAGTAAATTTTATATCCTTTAAGAACCTCTGATTCTTTCATGTTTCTACCTTGAATAAAATACCCTTCAACAAACTATTCTGGTTTGCTTTTTCTTAATTCTTCTGTCATCAAAATTAAGTCTTTTATTTCTTCTTCCTAAAAGCTTTAGTTTCAAATACTGTGAAAGTAGACTGATTAATCCATACTAAAGTGTGAATGTTGGATATATCTGGTTACTCATCAAGAAGGTTGTCAAGTGAACCTCTTTGTAAAGTTGAAGGTAAAGAAGAATAGGAACTAATTCAGCGGTATAGAGTTTCTGCACAATTCCTTTCTAATTAAGTGGGAGAGGACTCATAAAGCTCTCTACTGCAAACCTGCTTTGAACCAAGGCTTTCTTTTTCTTAGGCTCTGAAAGGCTAGGTACTGATCTTTGGGAGTGGAATCATAGTAATCAGACTGTTAGCAGAATCAAACCTGGTCCAATAGTAATACCTATGAAACTGAGCAATGGATGATGTATACATGTTTAATATATGATCTTTATGACATTTTCCTTTGGTGAATCTGCAGTTTCATTTGTAGGCTTCTTTTTTCTTGCCTATCACTTAAATCCTGCTGTTCTGTCTTCTAACCTTTTTTTCAAGTCAAAACTCCACCAGGTGCATGTTCTTACTTGCCCAAAATCCCAAGAGAAGAATGGAGAAGGAACTGTGGCATGGCCATCCTCCCTGGGAGGTGCTTTCTCATTTTCTTTCCCTCTCCCTCCCTTTGGCTGCCTGTCTCCCTGGCAAGCACACATGCCCTCTGGCAAATAAAAACAGAAGAAATGAAATGAAATGATTTTTATTTACATTAAGTTTTAAGACATTCACATGAACCTATTAAATCATTACAGTTATGACAGAAAATAATCATGAGATGGGACCAGCAGTTAGCGTAATGGCTATGTCGCTGGACTCCCACGTAGTCGACCGCGGTTCGCGTCCCGGACCTGGTGGCTTAAAACTCACGCCGGGCACGTGTGCGTGCGTGCCCAAGATTCTGAGAGGAGAATGGAGGAGAAGGGATTGCAGCATTTCCATTCCCCCTGGGCTGGGGGGTGATTTCTCGCTTTCTATCTCTCCGTCTCTCTCTCTCTGGTGAGCGCACATGCCCTATAGCAAAAACCTCTCCAAAAATAATAATAATCATGAGAGTGAACATATCTAAGACCCTCATATACAAAATTTTTTTCACACCCTTCATAATCCCTTTGCTCCATCCCTCCCAGCCCTATATTTAAACTGCTGGTCTCCTGTCCCTGTAGATTAGTTTACATTTCCATAGTTTTTTGGTTTGGTTTGGTTTGCTTTGCTTTGAAGAGAGGTTTTTTGGTATAGGGTGTGTGCATTCGCCAGAAAGAAAGGCAGAAAGAGACAGAAAGCGAGAAATCACCCTCCAGGAGGGACGGCCATGCTGCAATCCCTTCTCCATTATACCCTCGGGATCTTGCACGCACACACACCCAGCATGAGTTTAAGTCACCAGGTCCAGGACTCGAACTGTGGTAGACTACATGGGAGTCCAGCTACATAGCCATTACGCCAACTGCTGGTGCCTATTTTCACAGTCTTATATAATGGAGTTTTAGTCTGCCTTCTTACCTTGTTATGGACTTGATATTTGTTTCTCTCCTCAAAATTTATATTCTGATACACTAATTTCAGTGTGTTGGAATTTGGTGATAACTCTTGTAAGAAGTAATTAGATCTAAATGAGATTTTTCAGGTTGGACCACTCTTGATGGGATTAGTATCCTTATAGGAAGAGAAAGCTTTCACAGTTCTCCCTATGCTGCAGGTAAAAAAAGGTGGCCAACAGGAAGCCAGGAAGTCCTTCACCAAGAATCAAACCTGTCAGCATCCCAATTGTGGACTTCTCAGCCTCCAGAACTATGAGAAATAAGCATATGTTTCAGCCACCCAATCTTTAGCATTTTGTAAAATAGCAGCTTCTGAGCTAAGATAGAAATTGGTACTAAGAATTCTAGTAACTTCCTGACAAATATTTACAAGTGTAGAATCAGTTTTGGAACTGGGTAGTAAATAGAGACTGGAATTTTTAGGTGACTGGTAGAAATTCATGGATGTTAAGGGTAATTCTGATGAGGGCTCAAAGAAAAAGCTTTCATCTCTCTAGGCAATATATAAATAATCAAATAGAATGTTGGTAGAAATATGAATGCCTCAAACAAGAGCAGTGCTTCTGGACAAAAGAGAAAAACTGATCCTTATTATATTGTGACCCAAAAGAAGTGGATTACGTTAGTGTTTTAGTGCTTTGTAGCAGGTAGAACCTGCCTGACAGCAATGAAATTAAATACTTAACTGAGGAGATTTTTAAGAAAAGAAAACATGTGACTTGGTTTCTTCTGACTACTTATACTAAAATCAGAGATGAGAAATGAAGGAGGAATTTTTAAGCAAAAAAGGACCAAAATTCAGACTGACCAAACTGGAGAAAGCAAGTTTGGAAAAGAACACCACTGGTATGGCTGGACTGTCAAGCAACAAAGAGATTAGATGTGCTGAAACAGTGTCCCCTTTGAAATGGGGATGGAAATGAGAAAAAAAACTGAAGGAAGACTAATAGTCTTCCTAGATTTTACAGTCTTGGACCATAGAGCTATTTGGTTTCAAAATGTGTTATTCTTAAATAGAAAGGAAGCATGACCCAAAGCTGCCTTATCTTTTTGACCTTGCTGGGCTCAGTCCATGCTTCAGCTCTCTCCAGTTGGAGTCTCATGTTTGCAGTCATTTCTGGCTAGTACATGTATACAGATGATTCCATAGTTGTGGAATTTTGAGAACAATTTCACATATTGTGGCTCCACTAGGCTGTGCTCTGATGGAGATTCTCTGTAGCACACTTGACTCCACAGTTCCACTTGGCTATGTATTAGTAGAAGCTCTCTGTGGTGGGTCTACCTGGGTGACAAGTCTCTGCATAGGCCCCAAGACTGACAGTGTTTATGGACTTCTCAGATCTCCATGCCTCCACAGCTTTTGATTTCTGCAAACCTGCAGAATTACTTTTACATGCATGCCAACAAAATCTTGAATATTCTGGAGGAGAGGGCAGAGCTGCAACTTTAATGGAAGTCAAGCTCCATCTGGGACCATTTGAACCAGCCAGGGCCAAGAAATTATTTACCAGATACAAAGTCATAAGGGGCTCAGAAAAGAGCCCTGTTCTCTGAAATTTTGCTCTCCTAAGCTCTGGGCTTGTGATGAGAAGATCTCTGAAGCCTCCTTGGGAGAAATCCTTGGGCCTTTCTCCCATTTTCTTTCTTTTTTTTTTTTTTTTAATTAATTATTTTCTTTTCCTTTAAACACTGTATATCATTATAGCATACCAAATGAATATTCTCATCATGAATACACTGCATATTGGCTCAGTCAAAGATATTACCATACGCATTATCAACAGTTTTCCATTTTTGTGTCCTTAAAATGTTTTGCTTCTAAAAACTTCTTTCTCTTGCCCTTTGATTCCCTTCCTCTCACCTTCCCCAATTTCCCACCTTACTCCTGCATTGTCTCTAGTATCACGATTACTCTTCATGCATTTATACCTTTCAGTCTTTCAGTTTTTCGATATACAGTGCCAACATTCAGACTATATTTAGTAGGGACATACAATGCCTCTCTTTCATAGTCCTGCTTGTTTTGCTTAACAGCGTATCTTCTGTATTTGTCCACTTTCCATCAAATGCCAGTGTCTCATTGTTTTTTATGGCTAAGTAGTATTCCATGGTGTATATATGCCACACTTTTTCAATCCATTCATCTGTTCATGGACATTTGAGTTGGTTCCATTTCTTAGCAATTGTGAATACAAAAAGTATGAGATACGTAAGAATAAAGCTAACCAAAGAAATCAAAGACCTCTACAAGGAAAACTGAAAATCTAAAAAGGAAGTTGAAAATAGGGACCAGCAGTTGGCCTAGTGGCTATGTCGCTAGACTCCCATGTAGTTGACCACGGTTCAAGTCCCGGACCCGGTGACTTAAACTCATGCCAGGTGCATGTATATGCATGCCCAAGATCCTGAGAGGAGAGTGGAGAAGGGATTGCAGCATGGCCATCCCCCCCGGAGGGTGATTTCTCACTTTCTGTCTGTCTGTCTCTGTCTTCCTGGCGAGTGCATGCGCCCTATAGCAAAAACCTCCCCCCCCTCCAAAATAAAAATGTTGAAAATGACATAAAA